TTATTATAGTTTATAAGATCTTACGAGTTTATAGTCGATAATACTTATACTTATACCTATATCTAGGCTAATTTTAATAGTAGTATTCTTAATATATATAACAGTTTTAATTATCGGGAGGATCTCTATAAGTAGCTACTAAGTCGGGGCTATAGAGTTTACTCCGACTCGCTAGCGTTTCCCTATTCTTTTATAGCTTTATTATCGGCGATAATTTTGTTAATATATATATTTAGGTATTCTTAGCTAGGTCTTACCTAGGAATAGTTAGAAGTATAATATCTCTTTTTTCTATATATATAATAGATAACCGAAGATAGGTCCCTATTTCTATAGAACTAATAATAGGATAAGATAGGAGTATTTCGATTAGGGTTTATAGTCTCTTATCTATAGAAAGAGGGTCGGTACTTCTTAGTATTTTCCTATTATCCCTTTTAGTCCTAGTTTTTCCGGTATTACTTCTTCGGATTTATTCTAGGTAGAGAAGGATTCCGATATCCTATACCTCGACTATCCTATATATAGATTATAGCTAAAACTATATCGGTATAATTCTCCGGGAGATCGTTCTAGTATAGTACTTTAAGTTTATTTTTAAGGACTAGACATAGTTTTACGTAGTAGCTAAGAGTACGCTCTTTCTCCTAAATATTTATATAGTTTTCGATAGATTAGAGATAGTTATAAAATATATATAGGTCTTAGTCCTCGAGCTAGTAAGCGCTATAGTATTTTTCTATAATATTAGCCTCTGTAAATCGACTCCCTCGGATAAATTCGAGTATCTAATTAACGAAATTATCCTAGGTAGGCTATTAGGCTATAAACTCGGTCTTTTTATAATTCGTCTACTAGACCTATTAGGTTAGTTCTAATATAAAGAATCTAATAGGAATCTTATATAAATTACTTATATATTAGTCGGGACTAGCTTCGAAGATATATTCTAATTTATCGAGCTACTAGATATATTACTCTAGGGTTAAGATAAAGCTTAAGCGGTATAAGATATTATTAATTTTAATCTCTATATCTTAGGGTCGATAGGAAAGAGGAGACGTAGATTAAGATTCGGGGGTATCTCGTCGCTAAATTATAGCTTTATATTCGAGTTACTAGATCCGCGCTAGGAGGCGATCGAGGGTATTTTATTTATTTAACTTAGTCTATTCGGGAGATCGTACCTCGAAACTAGATCTATCTTCTAGGTCCCGAGGGGTTAGACTAAGTTTACTTAAGGGTTACCTAAGCCCCTTACTAACTCGTCGGGATCGTTCCGCTACCGTAAGATAGGCGGATCGTTAATAGGTCGTCGGTATAGATATTTCTTCTCTGGGTAGCTAAATAGGAAGATTTAGTAATTATTAGGGGATCTATATCGTAGGATAGAGAACCTATTAGCTAGGTAGAGAGTCTAAGTCTATAGTTATAATTTTTTTAAAGACTAAATCTTAGGGTGTAGTAGACTTCACTAGTTTATACAATATATATATAGGGGTTCCGTGTACCGAGTCCCTATAGCCCTATATAGAGCCTTTAGGGTTATTACCCCAAGGTAACGCGGGGTCGATTCGATCGTGAATCGTCCTAAGTCACTACGTATAACTACGCCGTGATAATAGTATTTAAGGATTTTAATATTTTATTTTCTTCTATTAGCTAATTAATCTATTCTCGAAGTCGTTAGTTTATCTCGGTCTTCTATCTTAATACTTAGAAAGCTACTCGAGTATTATTAGAAATCTATTCTAGTAGCTACTTAGGGGTTTCGAGTTCGTATTTAGTATCTTTATAGCTAAAATTTAACGAGGTTCTATTTCGATAAGGAGTTTATTCTACTAAGGAGATTTACTTATAAGACTATACTATTATAGCTTTAGTATAGTTCGTTCTTAGTTTAGGGTTTATATAAGAGATTCTAAGAATAATAGTATAGATATAGTATCGAGCTACTTATTAAGGGTTTTAAAGATTATAGGATTTTTTAGGAAAGATCTTAGGATAGCTAGAGGATATAGTATCTTACTATCTAGCTAATACTTTAAAAAAGATAGAAAAAAGAAGAGAGAGAGCTCTTAAGATAATATTATATACTAGTTTTTAAGAAAAGTTTTAGAAGGACTTATAAACTATTTATTTAACTTAACTATATAGTATCGAGAATCTTAAGAGCTAGAAAGTTAAAGAAGAGAAGGAAGCTATAGAGATATTCTAGGTTTTAGGATAGTATATAGTACTCTAGTATAGTTATATATCTCCCTTCTAATACGGATTTCTTCTATAGAAGAAATATAAGTCTGCCCGGTCGGTTTTCTTCTATAGAAGAAATCTAAGTCCGTAATACCTATATTCCTAGGTCTTCTACAGAAGAAATCTAGGTCTATAATACTTATATTCTTAATAGCGCTATAATATATAGATAGGTATTATATAATCAGACTAGGAGATCTCTAGATATATATACTAGTAGTTATAGTTTAGTTCCTCTATAACTTAACCTATCTAGTAAGATTAGACTATCTTAAGTATTCCCCTCTATACTATATAAAAATATTATATTTCCTTTTATATAAGTAATAATATCCTTAAGAGTAGTATAAGCTTCTTTAATATATAAGAAATTACTATCGGTAGTATATAACTTCTTATTATTAAGAGATAAGCTAAACTAAGTATTCTTAAAAGACTATAGAATAGACTTTTTCGAAACCTTAATTAAGCTATTAGTCGTCTTTATATACTTAGAAGGCTCTTCTGTATATAAATACTAGCTATCTATACTCTTATACTTAGGCTTAGTCGCGGTTTCCGCTACCTAGATAGCTAGATAGTTCGGATTCTTCTTTTTTAGGAGTATAGTAATCTAAGTAGAAAGAGTTTTATCCCTTCTATAGAATAAATATTTAGCCCCGCCTCTATCCTAAGTATAATTCGTGTAGGATCTATTAAACTAAGACTTCCTATCGAAGATTAGGATCCGGTAGAACTTAAATAGATCCTTCTTCTTACTATAAGAGAGATAGGACTTACTAGATAGCACCTTAATACTAACTTATTAAATAAGTATATATTAAAGATATAATTAATCCTTATAATCTTTCGGGCTATATACCTAGTTGATATTATATATATACTTAAGCTAGTATATAGCGAGGTTATTACTCTTCTAAAAAGAAAGTAAAATAGGATTATACTACTTATTAAGATCTTTATCTATAGACTAGAGTTAGTAGATATATAATACCGCGAGGAAGCGAGAGAGATCTATATATCTTAGATAGAGAAATCTTATTATTATCTATTTCTCCTTTAGACTCCTTAGCTATCTTATCCTTACTATTACTATTACTACTATTATCGCTATTATTACTATTACTATGACTACTATTATTACTATTACTATTACTACTACCGCGGAGATAATAAGTAGTCCCCTCGAAGTTAGATAGGTATATAGGGATATCGGAGCCGATAGGAGTAATACTACTTAGAGTATTACTAGCCGGAACGCTAGATCAGAGCTAGCTCCGCTCGAGAGATTAACTTAGTATAGATATATTATTAGAAGATATACTACGAGTTATCGAAGTATATATTAAAACTAAAGAAGAGGTTACTATCGGTATCGAATAGATATAAATAGTAAAGAGCTTATCTATATTAAAGTTAGAAGAAGTTTTTAAGTACTAAGAGGAGAAGTATATTATAAGTAATAGGAAGAAAGAGAAGCTAAGACTAAGAATAAGTATTTAAGTAAGAGACTTATCTCGTCGCGAGAGTTACAGAAGTTACTATATCGAGAGAGATTCCTTTAATATAGATATAAACTACTAGATTTAGTAAATATTAGGAGGCCCTATAAAGCTATAAGGATCTAATCCTATCTATTCTTTATATAGGCTAACCCTATCGTCTAATTTTTATAATAGTCGGCTTCGCCGATCGATTTCCTTTATCTAAGTTCTACTATTCCTATAAGTATAGCGCCGATTAGCGGAGAATTAGGTTAGAAATTATAGAAATTACAGGAATTCTGACTCGGACGTAGCTCTTTCGATAGAAGAGCGCGAGTACGAAGAATTTGGCAGCGTATTTCTTTATAAGAGATTCCCGATCGCGAGGATACGGTCGAATCTAGTAGGGGAGGATATAATCCGAGGCCTATAGCTACCTTAGGTATCCTAACCCTTCCTTTTCGCGATAACTAGAGCTAGATAAGCTATAACCTCACCGTATAGCTCCGGTCGGTCACGTAAGGACCCTTAGTCCTCTGTATATATATAGTCACGCCTATAGCCATACTTAGAAGAACTATATCCTATCTACCCTCTGGATCTCAGATCGGCGGCCTGTTACCGGCTTTTATAATATCTAGGTAAGACTCTTAATAATATAACTTCTACTAGCGATTAGGAAGTTCTAAGTATTTATTTAAAATTTAAAAATTTATTTATTTAATATTCGCTAGATTTTTTGTGGGGTAGTATATTTTACCCGTATTTTATTTTTATATAAAACTATAATTTAAAAGAAAATTACAGAGGTATCTATAATCAAATATTTGGTTTTGATTATCTTTGGTTTTAATTTAGGTTCCCTATATTATATACCATACAAAAACCAAGAGATTTGCTGACGCGATAGCAGAGAGTGACCCTATGAACAACTCTGTCAGCGCCGGACGATTATTCGGACGATTTCTCCGCCGACGGGACAAGGCCGTAAGCTATACAGTCGTGGAGATGGGCGACCGGCCTATTATCCAGCCGACGGCGTTACCTCCACCAGAGATTACTGTGGTACTGAATTCCATGAAGAATGACAGTCCATCTCCGATTTCTTATATTTACAAAGTCTCTATGGGCGGGACTTGACCATTCCACTAACTCCTCCCGCTACTGAACCCCACCTCTCACATCTTCACTTGCACTCACAGCTACCAACTTTACGAGCAACAACTTCAACAACCAAGAATGACATCTATCATCCAACCAACAATGCGTGCCTGGGTTCGCCCACATCGCGGCCCGGCAAAGAATCTCCAACTGACCGACATGCCCACACCAGCTGTACCACCATCATCTTCTTCAGAGGTTCTAATCCGCGTGTCTCATGTCTCCGTAAACTTCAACACCGAGCTTTTCATGAAAATAGTCCCCAAGACACCCCTGACAAAGCCTTGGATCCCCGAAATCGAATTCTCAGGCGAGGTCATCGCCGCCGGCACAAAGGCTCCGCCTGAAGTATGCGACCTTGGAGTGAAGGTCATCGGCTACGAAAGTATTCTGAACTACGCTACGGGACACGGTGTTCTGGCCGAGTACGTACGTGTTCCTGGTAGCAACGTTGTGCGTGCTAGCGATGAGATTGATATGGCGTCGGCGTCTGGGATTAATGGGTGCGGGAGCTGTGCGTTGAAAATCTGTCAGACGGCCGGGATAAGAAAAGGCCATGTCGTTTTGGTCAACGGGGCGAGCGGATCTGTTGGTTCTGTTCTCGTGCAGCTTTGTAAGGTTAGAGGAGCGAAGGTTGTTGGTGTTGCGAGTGGTGGGAATGAGGAGATAGTTCGTGGACTTGGTGTTGATGAGGTATCAATATTTTCATCGGGCCATCACAAGAACAGGGAACATCTGCTAATCGATGCTCTAGTTCATTGACTATCGCAAACTTGACTCGCTGCCGGCTTACCTCGCCAGTCGGTATGGGGATAAACTGTTCGACTTCATACTAGACTGCGTCGGCACGCAGGCGCTTTACGCAAATTCACCCGCTTATCTCAAGCCCGAAGGTGCTTTGATCAATATCGGTTTTCTCGAGGGTATTTTTACGACGACATTCAATGTCCTGGTAAATAGATTCCTTCCTACGTGGCTGGGTGGCGTGCCACGTCGTTACATCACGTTTAGCACACCACCGACTCGCGATGCCGCGATTTACATGGCGAAATTGGTGGAGGAGGGCCATATCCGTATTCCCATTGACTCTGTCTATGATATGGAGGATGCCATTGCGGTGTACGAGCGAGTGGCAACTCAGCGTGCCAGGGGCAAAGTTGTTATCAAGGTGCGAAGTAACTAGATCGGGATCTGAAATTGTACTTGCGCAACTCGAAATGCGTTTTTACTGAGAAACTCGACTTATCAAGCAACTTTTGCGTCTAAACGTTTGTATTCTAGATTAGATTGAATCTTTGCAAACCCCTCTCAATTCGGCGTGAGCTCATAACCGGGGCTCTAAACCCCATCTCATCTTTACAGATAGGTAAGGAGCCCGAGCCTCACGCAGGAATTGTGAAGGTTGCCTTTTTTCACTGGAGACGGTAGCCGTCTCAGCTCTCTGAGTTTCCTGCATAGCGCAGGCTCTATTGACAGAGGCCTACCCTGTAAAAGTCAGATTGTCGTCCTGATCAAGTCAAGACGTGTTGTACGAAGTCGTGAGGCGCTCCGCAGTGACGCTCGAGGCGGACAGATCCGACAAAACAGAGGTGTGCGAGGAATGTAGTCCCCTGGTGTAGTAGTCGGATTAATACAGCAGGAGTCTAATGAAGCCACAGGCAGACTCGTTGGGAGCGTCAGCTGCGTTTTTTGTGGTCTGACTGTACGGTGGTGCGATTTGGCACAGACTGGATTGGAGAGCATGGTATATACGTCAATGTTTTGACCCGCATGTTCTCTAGAATTCATTCCATGTAAACGGGTTATGAATACGCTTAAGCGCCAATTTGTCTTCATGTATGCAGATCTTATGCAAAGGGGAACATCAGGAAAAGTTTGTGTCAATTTTCAGAACTATATTAGTGCTGCGTGGGATGAGTCAGACCAGGCGAAGATTGATGCGTTGATATTCAGTATTGGGAGCACCAGAACCATCATACAGAATATTAAGTGTCAGAAGTATGTTTACAAACGTCATTGTTCATCAGATAGCATTCCAGCTTCGCATAGGAACAGGAATCAAAGGATTGGTTGTACAGGATAAAAAATTATGGATATACATATATGATGGCAGTTGGTGACGGAAGCAATATGCAGACACACTCTTGCGCCCTATTATCTTGAATATAGGCCCTCTAGGGCTTGACCCAAATCCAGCTAATAGTTCTAGAGACCCTGTAGCTTAGCAGCCTAAGCTCTCGATACTTTCCTTCTTGTTCGTATAGCATGTGATACTGCCGCAGACCATAGCCTAGATAGAATCTCTCCAAGCCAGTCAATCTCACACTCATCCCTCTCACACACGGTGATGCTACACCTATTGTAGCCACCTCCCAACACCTCTTAGCTATTTTCTGTAGAAATCTTGAGCCGCGGGCTTCACAGACTGGCAATGTTTAATTATCTAGCCGAACAGTAGCAGAATCCACGTGCTCGCAGATACCCAAAATATACAGTTATATAGACCAATGTACATTGTAAGTGCTTTCGTATTCCTGAGTAAAGAACAGTCCACGAAAATGGTAATATTTAAATCTGTAAAAGTCCACCTCTCTGAAAGAGTTAAAGGGCTATCAATAAGGTTTCGGTATGTAGTATAAGTTGTCTCTGTCCTTACGCTCGTCCAATGGGTGCCGCCCAAAATGTGAATTAATTTCCGAGTAAGAATATCTCAAGTGAGGCCTGAGCGCTCTGGTATTGCTTTTTGGGATTACTCTTGAAACCTTCGGGAGGTACATCACATTGTAATCAGCGCCGCGATCTTCTATTGCCTGGTCTCTACTATTTCCCCGGATTGCCGAGAAGGATTTCGTCTTCCTTTATATGAATGGTAATCATGCTGCTTCACAAGCACGCATCACTTAGACTTCAAGTTTTGTTTGGCTACTGGGCTGCTTGCATTCGAAGATGCAGGGCTGTTTTAAATATGAGCCCTCTCCAAGCAATCCTGTTGTCTACAAGCAAGGTGCATCTGATAAGATGGAGTCAATTTGCAAATGAAGAATGTGTCTATCTCCACTATGCCTATCGTGTAGATTCCATGGTGTCGCTAAAATGTCTTATATTCGGAACCAAATACGCTTTAGTGGCCTAGGAGTCGTGTGCCCTTTTGAATGATTTGTGAGAGAAATTTAGGAAAGCGCCGAAGCCTAGACTGGCCATGTTTATAATAGTAGGAATAAGACCTAGATATAATAGCCGGCCTTAAAGGCAAAGACCAGGTCTGACAACTTCCGTTGCCGAAGGTATCCGCAAGCTTTCCTTTCTCAATTTTGGGATATGGTTCTGCGGACCTTCTGCGAGAGTCTTACTCGCGAGGGATAGGTGCGGTGGTTTCATTCTCACAATTACCCGCGATCAGAGTTGCCGACATGGGGCGCTCGCCCACAGGCCAATGTGAGTGTCTTCAGCGTTATGTCCGCAGTGTCTCCAAACACGCTGGGGGTAGAAGCATCCTGCAAAGTGGCTTGACAGGCTCTGATAGGTGTTCTGGGCTCATTGGGCCGGTCTGCCCCTAGAAGTCGATTTTGAAAATAAGTACGTGGACACTCCAGTGATACTTGGCTTCTCCTCCAGGTCCCCCTTGCCATGTGTCCCAGAGTGCGGTAAACGTATTGACAAGTCGTGAAAACATAACAAATTAAAGGATAGGATGGCTGCCAATGATAGCGGGACCGATCCTGATCAGATTAGAAAACAAGGGAAGCTGTGCCAGTCAAACAGCTAAGACGTACTCAGCTATTTATGTCGAGGAACATTTCCGCAACCGCATCGATAGCTGGGAATATTGATATTTGCACAATATTATCCATTGCACACTGTACATTGATCAAACGTGAGCCAAGAAATCGAAATGCCTGACTGCCGTGCCTCTGCAGAGACCTCGTCTTCATTTTCTCACTGCGTGTGGAATTTGTGGGCTGGTGGTAAAGTCAGTACTCAAGAAAAACCTTAGAAAGGCCATCTTTCTGTTGACCGATCAGATGCAGGAATCTCACTAGACTCCAGAGCTTTGCATGTATAATGCGTCTGCTTGTTTCCCCCTCGATGTATCGTGAAGCATGAGGGAAGAGAAATCTTCTGAGGCCATGCGATCGTGCTAATCTGGGATTCAAGGTACAAGATTGAAGATGCTCCAGACACCTTTTCAGGCGTCAATTTCTTGTGTAGTCCACAAAACAATGTCATACCTGCCAATCATAGCCCATATGTCGGACTGAGCATCGCATGTATTTCTGAAGAATGAGTAGCTAGAGAGTCCTGGTGATGAGTTTGCTCGTTGAACCGGCGCCAATGCATGAGGGCGTCATCCCGCAAGACTCGGGCCAGACGGATACACGTTTCACCACTTGGTCGCAGGTGACCACTCATCGGCAGAGAGAACATGGTATTGCATGTAGACACTGCATGGGTTGACATCAGTCGGGGAGCGTTTTGCAGACGAACTCGTTGGACAAATTTCGATGCATTAAATCTCGTCGTGACAGATCGGCTTCTTCACAGTAAGACACACGGGTGCTTGGCCTTGCTGTTCTGCTTTGGTAGCGGACGGTGTCCGGACGTCGGCGTCTAGACACACCTACATCTGCAACTATGATTTTTGGTACATGATCTCGGAGACTTGAAGAGTCATGATTGATAGGAAGCTCGATGTTGAAAGGCCGAAGGCCAGAGGGTATCATAACTGTCAAATAGAATTTCAAAACACAAACGCCAACCCAGGCTCCATGTCAAAGTCCAGGCGGCGCAGTAGGGCACCGTAATGGACACGCCAGTTGATCACGGTCCAGTTCCAAGCGCTCAAGTCACACTTTTCCCTTGTCGCTGGGCAAAGTGGCCTTCATGTGTTCGTAAACCACGAAGGTAACCCATGTGCTTGGAAGAACTCGAATCAAGTTAGGGCCCAGACCGCGATAGAAGCCCGAAATCCCCTCCTTGGTCCAGACCTGACGGACTGCATCCATGGCGCCGCGATAAAGCATCTGAGCTTCCAGGATCTGGAGTCGCGCGCGAATCACCTGATATGGGTATGTCACACATCCGGCAAATACTTTGGACATGCCAGAGATGGCAAAGGTGTCTAGGACGCTGAAATTCTTTTGGCTTGGAGACACGGCCGTGTTTGAGAATATCTCGCTCTTGGAGGACTCCGTCGGCCACAAAGCTCTCAGCTTTTCATAAGCCATGAATTGGAAAGCGCCATGGCTGACACCAAATAAGGATGGGACTAGACCACGGTAGAACCCACGTAGTCCCTCAGTATGGTAGAGATGCCTGACACCCGAAATCACTGAGGAATAAGCTCCAGGCGAGTTCGCGCCAGTTGCAAGCATTCGAGTCTTGATCACCCAGATTGGATTCGTCATGAGTGCAGTGAGAACACCTGGAGGGGGAAGCCTGTCAGCTACGTGGCGAGAATAGAACCATTAAAGAAAAAAGTTACACTTACCAGCTGCCCCAGATGTCAGGAAGTAGTCAGAAGATTTGAGCTGATGCACTGGTTGCCCGCGGTAGTGACAAGCCATCTCCTTGAGACTGCCGTAGAAGAAGAAATATAAAGCCCAACTGGTAGAGTTTCCAATCAGGTTCGGTGCCAGACCACGATAAAAGGCACGGATGCCACCCTCATTTGCATAAATTCCGCGGATGATTTGGACTGAGCTGCCGAATCGGGCAGGAGATGATCGGTCGACTTTCATTTCGAGACAAGTTAGTCGTGGACGGCCAAACCCTCTCCCTCATACCAAAGACAATACTTGTGAGAGGGCAGTGGGCATTTCTACGGCGTCTGTGTTTCTTGACTCACCTTGTAGGCGCGTTTTCACCAGATCCAGTGGGTGCACCGCGAGTGTTGTAGCAACACCCGCGGTAAACCCTGCTAGAGTCTCCACCGCCGACGACGAGAGCCCATCTCGCCTAGTCATGGACCCAAATATAGAGTCCAAAAACCCCCCAAAAGGAACAGTCAAGCGTGATCAGGATCGTGAGTGTGTATGGAAACAGTGAGTGTTGCTGTTAAGACTCAAGCCGCGGTAATTACTCCAAATATTTATGTGCAGCCGATAAGGCTTTATCGCGATCCTTTGATGACGAAAGGGTCGGGGCAGAAAGTCACGGATCAGGGCATCTTCCATTTCCGTTAATTAAGATCATCTGACCGCCCGGCAAAGGCGGTCGTGAAGAGCAGAGCGATGCACTAGGAGAGTTGATATAACAACGTGAGGCAGTCATTTCATTAGGCAAAATGGCTTGAACATGCACGAGCCTTGGTATAGAGGGACTACAGGTACAGAAGCTTGCGGTCTTTAGATGTTGAGAAGAAATTATCCACTGCTTCCTATAAAAATACAATAAATGCCTTCAGCACAACTCGTGAAGTAGGTCAAGCCGATCTGCTAGCAGCTTTCAGACAATAATTTAGACATTGATGCAGCAAGTGGCCCGCATGTGAGATTCTCACAAGCAGGTACAGTATAGATGGCAATCGTCTGGCGATGGTCGTTGAAGATGGAGTGAAAGGGACTCGAATGTAATTTGACGACTTCAGCCCGGCGGTGGGTAGTCCGGACCTAGCATTTAAGCCAAAGGAGAGAAAAGCCTGTATGAGATTCTGATTAGTATCCGATAGATGACGAGAGTCGTCGTCCGCGCGTAGAGAGGTTGCCGTACTTGAAGAGAGAAGGCTTAGGCTCGCTGTAGGAGTATCCTGCAAATTCGAAGATCATTGATCAGAATTAGGGTTTTCCCCCTTTAAATAGGATTATAAAAAGCTTCTCATGAATGAACATACCGAGGTAGACGATCAGAGGCAGGTAACCACTGTGTTTGCCGAGACGGTTAGCGAATTGTCAGATCGCGAGGATGACACTTGAAGGGTCTTGTCGGAGATGCGGGCGCGCAAAGTCCTTACTAGTGGATCGCAACACGGGAGATATCGATGACCTTGGAGACACGCTCCTATTACACAGAAAGACAGAAGTTAGCGATTGATATGCGGGTTGGTCTGACAAGCCGGAGAAGCAGTGGCGTACCTTAGTCTCTTCGGAGAACTGAACCATGATGAAGAAAGGTGGTAGGGATTGAGGAGAGGCTTTTTGAGAGAATGATTTATATCTGAGCAGGCCTTTATCTCAGAAACCTCGGCAAAGGCGATTGAGATGGAAGACTAAGATGATCTGAAGATGGTAGAAAGATGGATGGAGGGTTGGCGAGCGCGGGAGCGCGAGGGAGCACCCCAAAAGTTTTCGGAGGTCGGCAGATCCAATGATCACCAATCGCTGGCCGCTGCGGTTCCTCTCCACCAGACCTTCCTTGAACCCGCGCAATCTTTCCTGCTCTTCTTGGCTTTGGCCGTGCAACCTCAGGAATTGTGATCTCTACTACTCCTCGTTGAGATCTTCCGGTCTCATATTCTTGCATTGAACCTTCCTTGACTGTTGCTCTTGCCCCTCCTGGGACAGGCGTAGTCGCAAAAATGTCCGGCGCAAGACACTGGTACGGCGATCTTATTCTGCAGGACTGGCGTTGACCGACTGCTCAAGCTGACGCTTCTGATTAGGGAACAAGATAAGGAAGCCACGGTCTACATTGGCAATCTCGATGAGCGAGCGACCGACAGCTTGGTCTGGGAGCTCATGCTGCAGGCTGGGCGCATCGTGAATGTCCATCTGCCCAAAGACCGCGTGACCCAAACGCATCAAGGATATGGCTTTGTGGAGTATATTAGTGAGGAGGACGCTGAATATGCCTCTCGGATCATGAACGGTATTCGCTTATACGGAAAGCCCATCCGTGTGAACAAGGCGTCTGCAGACAAGCAGAAGTCGGTCGAAATCGGTGCCGAACTCTTCATTGGAAACCTTGACCCCATGGTCTCCGAACAAATCCTCTACGACACTTTCAGCCGATTTGGAACATTAACCAGCCTTCCCAAGGTGCGCAACACTTCCGTCTTTCCGCAGTCATCTTATCCACACAATTTGTCTAACGCAATGTTCTATGCATTCTCTTAGGTTGCGCGAGATGACAATAACCTCTCCAAGGGTTACGGATTCGTGTCATTTGCCGACTTTGAGTCCTCCGATGCCGCCATCAACAACATGAACGGTCAATACCTCATGAACAAGCAAGTCTCGGTGCAATATGCCTACAAGAAGGACGGCAAGGGAGAGAGACACGGTGACGAGGCCGAGAGAACACTAGCAGCCCAGGCGCGGAAACACAATGTCCGACCTCCAACCCAGCAAGTCGCCCCTCCACAGTTCCCAGGGGCTGCTGCTGCACCACCTCCTGGTGCTGGTGCTACTACCCCCGCGGCTCTGCCGAACGGTGAAGCATCGCGGCCCGTGAGCACTGCACCGCAGACGCCCGACGTGGGTATGGGTAGAGGTATGCCCATGCCGATGAATTACCAGAGTGTGCCTCCTCCCCCGCCGCAGCAAGGGAGGCCCAGCGGCCCGCCTCCAGCATCACTCATGACCCCTCCCCCCGGTCTTCCTGCCCGCCCTCCGCCGTCACAGGCTGGATATGGCGGACCGCAGACTTACCTCCCACCTAAATTCAATGGTGCTGGGCCACAAGCTCCATTCCCCCTCCCCCGGCTGGAGCTCCTGCTCCACCACCTGGCTTGGCCCCTCCTGGCTTTGCGCCGCCCCCAGCAGGCGCGATGGCACCTGGTGCACCACCTACACTTCCTCCTGGTTTCCAGCCGCCAGGTTATGGGGCTGGTCGCTGAGGAAGGTTTAATGGTTCCGGAGACATGTAAAGCGCATGCTCCTTTATGCAATCCAATCAAATCAAATTTTATCTTGCATTGCAGGGAAAACCGGCCATTCCAGAGTCGAATACATTACGCACTCGTTCCGTTACCGCCCAGTCATCGAGATTGGCTCCGAGAGCGACGGAACAGCGTCAGATTTCCCAGCATAAGAATCAATAGCACGCGTTCAGCGGGCTGTCCTGCCGACGACTGGGACCGGGGAAAAGCTGGTGGTATCAAGCTGACCATGTGGTCCACACTATCTAATAATGCCACCAAGTCAGGAGCTTATTTATGAAGAATGGTTCAAAAAGATTTCACAAAGACCAACGAAAAAGAGAGAGACGCTTCTTTGATGTAATTTCCCAAGGCGCCCAGTGCTCTCTACCTTCGATGGTGGTCTCATAATCTTAGGTTTTGGGGCGCTGTTACGACGAGCCATGAGCCGACAACCCAAGAAATAGTAATAGTAGAGGCTAAGAAAAATGGATGAAGATGAAAGAGTGTAAGTAACAAAGAGTGGATATGCGAACACGCAACAAGAGCTCGAAACAGAAAGAATCGAAAAGCGCTCAGGTAACACGAAGCATCACGAGAAAGAAACGAATTTTGGATCCCGCGGCCGACCATCGGGACCAATATTATTATTTGCGAACCGTTGCTCCGTATAAATTCGGCGCGCCTCGTCAAACGTCACTCGGCGGACTCTCATGATTCTTTTGATCTCTCGCTTTGCGGTTTGATCGAGACCAGCTCGAGTGTCTCCCTCTGCGACATTGGCGGCGAGGTCGAATTGTGAGGAGCTCATGCCTGCCTCGAGATCGGCCGTGAAACTGGACGGAAGGCGATCATAGATGTAATCGGGAACCGGGAGGAGATGGAACCATCTCGCGCGGGTTAGGTAGAGAGCTGGAGAGATCGATGTCAGTAAGTTTGACCTGGGAAAAACGGCTTGCTGGTTGTAGGGTGACCTGAACGAAGGCCCTCGGTGAGAAGAATCGCAACGTACCCGTTCCTGCGACGATTACGGATAGAACGAGAGAGTAGTAGAACAGATAGCCCATGATGGGCGTGATATTGCCGGGGCTTGTGGACGTCAGTGTTTCTTCAAGGTCCGGTGGGATGGAGCAATGCTTGCGTATTCAAGCGCTTCAACATTGAGGGTCAGAGGAGACAAAGGTCCAAGGATCTCTAAAGGAGCGTCGTTATTCACGATGCCGGAGACTCCGAATGGGGAAAGCTGACGGGGGGCGGAGCCGGAGGCTGCAGCAGTGTCCACCAAGGGATCGGGTCACTGCACGCTCTAGTTGCGGGAGCCTGATATGGGAGCACTCGTACCGGTACTCCGGTCTTTTCAGGCGACAAGGCATTGAAATCTTGTGGAAGGCCTGGTCAGTCAGGAAGTCACGTCCGATTAGATAAAAGCACCCGGAACTCCAGTTGAAGGAAGCTCTCAGGCAGCACGGCATCCACATGGGCACTATTCCCAAAATGGCCTGCTTAGCGAGTCGCCGAATTGAGAATTCCATCACACAAGTCGGTCTCCGAACTGGAGGGCGATTCATGATTGCAATTCCCAAGACACCAGCATCCACGTCACAATGTCTGTCTCACGCCCCAACGTTTCCAACGACCTGATCTGGCAGATCACCCGTACGTCCTCCAGAATGAAGCCCCAATTGGGATCCCCAAAGCCAAACGCACACAATCTCCAAAAAAGCTTTCCTGAGCGCAATCCGTGGCTGACAGCTATGGCATCACAGGTAACCAGAATGCCTATCTGGTTCGCCGCAACACCGGTGGTGGCTCCCAGTTCTCCCGGGACCCCCTGAACTTGGTCAACAAGCACTCTTTCAAGGTACGCGCAACTGGCGAAGGAGCGTCGATGCAATCCATCCGAGTTGTAGTATCACACTTGGAGCGGGGAGGCGGCACGTGAATTGAAATGGGAAGCTAACGCAAGATGTCTGTCTCCTTATAGTACTCTGGTTTCGCCAACAACAAGGTATCTACTTGCTTTCCTGCGACGGTCACTTCCCTCGTGGTTTCCAAAACATGTGCAGATCTGCGCCGATCTACCGACATGCGCTATTGTCCATGTGCTATCGCCAATTTACGATTCCTGATAACTGACTCGATTTGCGTTGCGTTTTTCACTAGGCCGTCGGTGTTCAGTCCGATGAGAACGGCAACGTCGTCGTGATCACCAAGAAGCCCAACAACGCCCAGCAGCCCGCTCAGAGCCTGGTCACCGTCTCCTACGGCCCCAAGACCTCCACCCGCAAGTAAGCAGCCCTTTGAATCTTGACGAACACTTCTATTGGGGCATCATCTCGCCTCTACGTGGCCGAATCGCGACAAGACAATTGGATCAATTCTAGATTCACTTCCGCGGTTGCAAGCTTACAGAGCGAGGACGGACCTTCTCTCTCACTCACGCAAGAACCGACTCGCTAATCGCTATTCTTCTCTTCCTCCAGGATCTACAAGGGTGTTGCCAGCAAGACCGCCCAGCACGGTTACCGCGCTGATGTCCGCGAGGAGGCTGTTTCCCGTGTCAGCGCTCTCCGCCGCGCCGGTCTTCCCAAGAAGGAGACCCCCGCCTCCAAGCCCCGCGGTGCCAAGGCCCGCCAGGCCGAGGAGAAGTCCGAGTAAATTTGCTCCGACAACTGATCTCTCTCTCTCCCTCTCGCTCGTTCAGTCTTTTCCCCCTCAAAAAATACTAGGTTCAGTCTCGTCCAACGGGAATGAGTTGAGAAAGAAACGATGAAGAGGCACGACGCGCATCCGTGGTGAGAATCGGATCTGGGCATCCAAAGGCAAGCTGTGCGCATGCGCGTGTCGTGTGATGCTGGAAACGCATGGGAATTCCAAGATCCATGTACTCTAGCCCAATTCAACCTTGATCTCTTTCTGAGACGGGGTTTGATATGAAAAATACCCGATTCTTGGTCGTGTTCAAGGAAGGCAAAGAAACAATTTCAATAAATTTCTTCAAAAAAATCTAAAACACACACACACACACACACACACACACACACACACTTCGATCAGGGAGATTATGTCGGAACGCGCCGTCCCGGTCCATCTTCTTCATATGTATTCTCTCACGATCAATGTCAATATAAGACCCAGGACGGACTCCTGCAGAAGAAGACCGCGATCTCGGATCTCGACCTCGGGAGATCTATCGAAGCATATACTGGGTACGCGAGTCAAAGTGCAGGTACGGTAGGAACTAGGAAGTGAACCTTAGCAGGGGTGGCCGATATGCCGGGCCGAATATCGATCAAGCCTCGGGCAAGGGCAAGCAAGCAGCCACTAACGAGAGTAGAACAGTTGGTAATGCATTGCCGATCGCGCCGCCAATGTCAAATGACACGTACAGGGCTGGCACTTGGCATGACAGAGCCCGGTCGGGAACCTCGGTAGATGAGAGGATTGATGCTTTGCGCCGACGCTCAACAAGATTATGAAACCATGAGCTTCCGCCATATGTATATACTCGGGGTTCTCAATTTGCTTCCAAGTCACCTGTAATACGCGACTGCGCAGTACATACCACATACCTACACACTGTTCATATCATCCTATACACGCCATGGATTAAAGAATTCATACTAGGAGCAAGGCGCACATTGTAATCAAAACAAAAAACTTCTCGGTTCTCACTCACTCACTGTATGGGTAGTGTATCTTAAGGATCGTGTTATCATGCTTGTTCCTCGTTCCTAATTCCTAGTTCCTCTTAGAGGATGCCCGTTCCTAAATGATATGATATCACCCGCCTTTTCCCGACGACGTCGATGGGAAATCTCGTAGGCGAGATGCCGAAAGTCACGAGCATGGAACGATATCGCCGGGATACCCCGGGTCGATGAGAGACTGGACGGGATCAATGAGATCATAATCATCACTGTAGAGTGACTATAGAAACGGATTGTATTCTCGAGGCAGTCTCGTCTTGTGGGCAGGTTTGATGGACATGACGAGCTATTATACTGTAACTGCATGAGTGTACGTAAGATCAAGATACTATTTAGTAGTTACTGAAAAGTGAAATTACAGTACCCCCAGACTTGAGCATCAGCATAGTCATACTGTGAGTGACTACATGAAGTGTGTAATGTAGTAATGTACAATTGTCTATATCTATAGCCAAATTGTCAAGTATCGAGAGATTTAGACTGGGGACCCCGTTGGGTGTGACCCTCATGGACGGGATTAGACTGCCCACAACAGGCTACACTCTACAGAGTCTGAGTGTATGTGAATGGTAGCTCTACAAAAGGTCCTCGACCGGCGGAATATGTATCGAGAACCATAGACGCAGGGTCAAGTGTGTAGCTGTGTATGATGAGATTATGTTGTCTGGGGCCTCAAATCCATTTTGAGCCCTGCGCTGCGCCATCTTGGAACAAGATTGCCAGTAATGGAGATTCCCAGGTTAACCTCAGCCTCTCAAGCAAAACCTTGACATGTCATAGGCCAAGGCCAAGCAGCATGGTACGGAGGTCCGCTGTTTGTGATCATGTTTCTGAGCAGGACAATAGTTTTAAAAAGCAAAGCTGGTGCTGATGATATTCTTTATCCATGTTTTCAACCGTACAGGGGTGGACAGTCTACGGCGTATGGACGCTCAAGAAGAACGGCATGCAAAACCACCTTGTTTCGCATGTGGTACCATCCATGGACTCATGAAGTCTGGGGGACTTTGGAAACAGTCTCCGCTTTTGTACCTCATGACTGATGTACCGGACTGGTGGGGACTGGAGAGTCGAGACACGCAGACCGGGCGGCCGAATGTAGTAAAAAAGCGAAAAGCCATTCGATGCATTCTTTGGCAATTTTTTTTTTCTGGTTGGGAACAGACAAGGACAGGCTTGTCAAAAGGAGGCTGAATGCCGAACTTGAGATGTCAACATCGTGGATCGAATTGTATATAAAATATACGCCAGGGCAATTTTCCGAGGGAAAGACGACAATTGCGTGCAGCTTGGGAGGGGACGTACAGTATTGTAATTTCAATTGTATCGCAATCTTACAGCATCCACATGCAAAGTACCGAGCATGTGCAACTACATACAGTTTCCGATAGCTAGTTACAGGTAGTCAGGTACCAAGTCCACACGGAGACCAACGGCGGAAAGTGAAATCAATAATGCCTTCGAAATGCTATTTTAAGTGAGCAAAACCATCGTCAAAGTACGATAGCATCGGTAGATGGTCAAGGTCGATTTTCTGAATTTTCTCCGTTCAATTTATGCTTTGGAATTCAGCCGGGTGCAGGTGCCTTCAATCAATTCCGGGCCAGGGCCCATCCCATCTGGCGGAGCTCTCACCAGCAGATCTGACCCGATGAACAGCCACTCCGGGGTTGCCCCTCCCCCTCCTCAGCTGCTTTCCGGCACACCCAAATAAATACACAACCACGTCTCCTCTTTTCATCTTCTCCTCTCCCCTTTCCTCCATCTCTACTTCCATTCCTTCTCTCATCTGTGTCTTCCCCCCCCCAAACTCCCAAACTCCCGATCTCCTGTCAAACCACACATCATGGTCAAAGCTGGTATGTTCAGATCTCCCTCCCTGACCTGCTCGGCAACTGTGCGAGGGGGAATCTGGGGAACTCGAAAAGCTAACGTGGGCTGGTAGTTGTTCTCGGTGCTTCTGGCGGCATTGGCCAGGTAAGACTCCATCTCCGTGAACATCGGTCTCATATGAACCTGTGCATTCAAAACACAAAACTAACGATCTCGTCTTCATGACGCTGTAGCCCCTCTCTCTCCTGCTGAAGGCCTCGCCCCTCGTCGATGAGCTGGCTCTGTACGATGTTGTCAACACCCCCGGTGTTGCGGCCGATCTGTCCCACATCTCCTCCACTGCGGTATGTTATCACAGTCCTCCGGACGCAGATTGTGGCTCCTTTGATCGGCTTTTCATGCTCTTTCGAAGCATGACAATACCCGACATCAGCGCCTTCTTGACCCGGAGAGATGCTCAGCGCCACTAACACAACCTGCAGAAAATCACAGGCTACCTCCCCAAGGACGATGGTCTGAAGCACGCTCTGACCGGCGCTGACATCGTCGTCATCCCCGCCGGCATTCCCCGTCTGTCTCCCCAACCCTCGGATTGGACGATGGTCAGGTCTCTTCAGTGCTAACAGGTCTTCCCCTCTCCAGGCAAGCCCGGTATGACCCGTGACGATCTCTTCAAGATCAACGCCGGTATCGTCCGTGATCTGGCCAAGGGCGTTGCTGAGTTCTGCCCCAACGCCTTCACTCTGGTCATCTCCAACCCCGTCAACTCCACTGTCCCCATTGCCGCCGAGGTTCTCAAGAATGCCGGCGTCTTCAACCCTAAGCGCCTGTTCGGTGTCACCACTCTGGACGTGGTTCGTGCCGAGACCTTCACGCAGGAGTTCTCCGGTCTGTCCGACCCCTCCAAGGCCACCGTGCCCGTCATTGGCGGTCACTCTGGCGAGACCATCGTCCCTCTGTTCAGCCAGGTCTCCCCCGACTTCAAGATCCCCGCTGATCGCTACGATGCCCTTGTCAACCGTACGTGCTTCGCTGCTCGTCTTTGTCTGTTGTCTTTTCAGCGATCCGTGACTGACTCTCTGACTGTACAGGCGTGCAATTCGGTGGTGACGAGGTTGTCAAGGCCAAGGACGGTGCTGGTTCCGCCACTCTTTCCATGGCCTTTGCTGGCTTCCGGTGAGTGAATTCATTTCGGTTAATCTGACTACGCTTGACAAATACTAAGCTCCAATTCTATCCAGCTTCGCCGAGTCTGTGATCAAGGCCTCCAAGGGCGAGAAGGGCGTTGTTGAGCCCACCTTTGTCTACCTCCCCGGTGTTGCCGGTGGTGAGGAGATTGTCAAGGCTACTGGCGTGGAGTTCTTCTCCACCCCTGTTGAGCTTGGTGTAAGTTTTGATGCTCTCAATGTTCTTGATTGAAGATGGCGAATGACTGATCATAATGTTCTTTATTGCTATAGCCCAACGGCGCTGAGAAGGCCATCAACTTGCTCAGTGGCATTACCGAGAAGGAGAAGTCCCTTCTCGAAGCCTGTATCAAGGGTCTCAAGGGCAACATTGAGAAGGGTGTTGAGTTCGTCAAGAACCCCCCACCAAAGTAAGATCCGTCCCCATCCCAGAACTCTTTTCCTCCTTTCAATGATTTTCATCCTTGGGTTGGTTCGGTGTCCTCCCTTCATGCTTGCGTGGGGAGGCTCTCAGGCATCCTTATCAAGCGCACTTCATTCTTCCCCGGACAGGCCCTTTCCAGCAATCGTTCGGCCTCGGAAATTGCAGGACCTCGCTAATCATTCTCCTGGTCGAAAGATAGGCTTTGAGCGGCCATAAAACGAGATTAACGAATTAACCAAGAGGAACCGGATAATGAATTCTCTTGCTGTTGAAACGAGATGGATTTCCAGCGAGCAGGAAGGTTAACCATGCTTTATGAAATAATTAAAATTATGATGAAATTCGGTTCTGCTTTATCGCCTGGCCCACAGTCCACATAGAGAAGACGTGTAGGCACCTTGCCGTGTAGTTCATTGCCGCAGCCCTCTGTCCTCGAGTGATTCTCATGACCGTCACAGGACACGTCCTGATTCCGGGCTCATTGTTCTCCTCGTGCTCGACCGGAAAATGCTCTTTCCCGCAGCCCCCATGAGTAAAGCACATAGCGCAACTAACTCGAGCAAGAACATGACTGCTTTCCTTCCCGCCGGTCCCGCCGGTCCTGCCGGGCGAGCGAGTCCTGGAACGGTGCCATTGCCTTGTCTCTCTTCTGCTTGCCCCTGGTCTAGGCCATAGTTCAAGCCCTAGGCTCGTCCAAAGTTCAATCGGTGTTTGGACCTGCATGCTTCCCCGCTTGCACGTAGTACAACCACCGAGTCCGATAAACATCTTATTTTCCATGTCCGTGTGCACCTGTCGTTCACCTCATTGAATTCAATCAGGGCCGAGCCTGGACCGTCTTGATCTGAAACGTCGCCCCCGGGAGCTCGGATGTCTCTGCCTGCACGGTCGTATTGATTCCGAGATTGGCGAGAGCGCCTCGTATCACACCACATGGGAACCAGAGATACTGCCGTCCACGAAAGGGGGTTGAGATTAGTTATAGATTGGGGGAGAATGTCTCAGAAAATGATAAACCTTTTGCCCACGGGGACATAAGGAACGGAGAAGGTTGTCAAGAAGAAGAAGAAGTAGCGGTAGACTCTCACTTACCGCTTGCGCCATATTCACGGCATCAGACCGGACGGCCATACTCATGCGCGCAAAGGGTCTGAACGCCGTATCTGTCAGGACATAGACTCCCTACTCAATTCGACCACTCGGGTTCTTAATCAGCAATTGCATCACTTGAGGTAACCAAAGACCCGAGAGTGGAACAACAGCGAGTGATGGAATCGAGATTGTCTCATTTGGTTCAATCCGAACTGTTGGTCCTCTCTAGAAGTACGAGCGAGAGAGAGAGAGAGAGAGAGAGAGAGAGAGAGAGAGAGAGAGAGAAAGCTGGCAACGTACCCGATGGTTGGTCTTCAAATTATCGATTTGTTTCCGAAACAAGACCATCCATAGATCTTTGCAGAGAAACTTGATGACGTCTAGGTTGTCCGTGAAACGGGGTCGATCGCGTGAGAACCTACGAATGAAGAAAATTAGCAATCTTCTCCCTAATCAAGCCCATTTGCAAACCCCCCTGGCTTCGCAGGCGCAAATCGCCAGCCCAAGGCCCAGGACAACAGCCCCGAGCTCCCAACTAACCAGACACGAGCACCTCCTCTTTTCGAAACCGGACCGAACCAGAGACTCACCTCTCCGCAAGGCCCTGGCCAACCCGATACCCCAACGACTCTAACCGGAAATACGTCGATTCACGAACCTCCGGATCCTCGGGGTTTTCTTGAGAAGCGAGATCCTTCGCCAGCCGTTCCGCCATGGGCACCAATTCGATCAGGAGGAAGTCGAAGCATGATGAGCTGAGGGCGCGCGCGTTGGGGTCGGAGACGGATAATGAGGCCGAGGCGTCGAAGGACATATTGTGCGATTGTGGGGAGTGAGGTGGCCTGCTGGACTTTTTTGCGGGGAGAGGGTGACGGAGTGAGGAGGGAGGGGGGGGGGGCTTTCGTTCGGGGGATTTGCAGTCGCGGAGATCTAGTCACTATAGCGGAGGAGAGAAAGTCGGGTGGGGAGTTCGTAATCGATTAGGAAGAGTATGAGAGTAGAAAGGACGATGCGCAGGGTGGACTTTGCCGATGTTTACTGGACGGAGGGTTCGGAGTGTTAGTTTGTATTCGGGACTCGAGCGGGTTGGAGAAAGCGGGTCTGGAGTCAGGATGGGCTGCGCGGGCGGACTTGTCAAGTGGAGGGAATGCGTTCGATAGTTATGGCGATGGAGTGAAGGGACATCCAGATTACAGGAGGAAGAATCATGTATCTTGACGATTTATCTACAGATGTACACCTTTTAGCATTGGATTGGATATAGAACAATCTCGATTATTGTGGTCTACAGAAATTACGTACGTTACTCTCCAGTCGCGTATAACCATGTGAAGTTACCCGGTACGATATGTAGTTGTCTGAGCCATGAATGATATCGTGGGTGACAGACATTACTGTTTGCAGTAGGCAATAATAGTTACATATAGCAGGATTGGCCCAGTTACCAGCAAACAGTTCCACGACTGCAAGATGGATCTTTCTCAGAGCATAATCATTCATGATTCGTTCCGAGCCCCAGAGCATGGAAGTGACCTTCACTGGATGTTCAGATTTTGGAGGCGTGAGCAGAGCTCGATCCGATAGTAGCAGTGAATAATAAGCGGCCATCAGATGCATCTGTTGTTGACGATGGACAGGATCTGCCAAGCTAATCAGATCAGTTCCGTATAATTTATAATTTATCCTGATTTCCCTCAATTTCTCGGATGGAGCGCTAATCATCGAAGCTGTGCCAAGTCTTGTTTTCGAAAAGTTCATTTCCACGTATCAATGCTTTTACTGCAATCGCTAGTACCCAACAGTCCCACGCGCTGCCCAATCAAGAATTTAAAAGCATGAATAAAAGTCGACTCCTGAATAAGGTCACGATCACGCCAGAAAAGAAACACCAAGGCCATATGCAAGAAAAATAGGAGGAGACGAGGACACGCATTTAGGCGTGAGCAACGAGGAAGGTCGAACAGGAGGGGAAGAAATTGTGTATGAGCAGGTGAGAGAAAAGAGAAATCAGGGAGGAGGACGCCGAACTATAACCTGGTCACGCCGTATTGTGTAAGACGATTGAGACAATTCGAAGCAGACCAGCCGGATGAGAAGAGAGGAAGAATAAAAAGGCTCATGTCCCCTATGACCATGCAAAAATCTCGGTATCGTCTGCACCACCGTATACTCTAATACGGCGGTGGAAAGGCGCGGTCGTTGAGTGGGCTATGGATCTGAGGCTGGTGAGACTCATGCGACGATAACCCACGTATACCGAGATTTAACGTTGGACGTTTCACAGGTGGCATCGGAGACTCATCGTCCTCGTCGTCACTTCCCGTGAGATCAATGACCGGCGCAGCTGGCCGCTTTTTACTTGAGAAGCGTATCGCCGAGGTGGGTGTGGATGCCTCGCGAGATTTTGATTGAGCTGGCGTACGTTCCACCATGACATTCGAGGTACTGGGTTCTCGCTTGACAGAAGACGCACCCGGTTCTGCGATCTCGATCAGATCGTCCTCACCGTCGTCATCGCTCGTGGGAGTACGTCCACCGAGGTGCACCGAATCATGCTCATTGGGCGCAGACCAGGTTCCATTTGGTTCAACCACAACAGACTCGGTGTCTCGCGATGTTGAATCGAGTATGTCGCTGACGTACCTTGATTGACGGAGATTCCTCAGTCAGTAACGGGTCGACCCGAAGAAAAGGAAGGTGATTGAGGCTACAACTCACTGGTCGACCTGCAGAGATTCGAAGCTCGTAGATTTGGAACACACCGGACAAGTCCATGTTGGGGCCTGCTTTTGCAACTCCAGGAAGGAGGCTGCATCAAAGCATTGATTGTGAGTGCACACAATGGACCGACACGGGACTTGAATCCGTAACGTCGAAAGAGGACACTTGAGCGACATTATACTAGACGTCGCAACAATATCACTGTCGTCGGCACGATTTTTCACTATCCCACCGCCCCGTTAGCCAACTGACTCCATCACACTCCCATTGCGGAATCGAACGATTAGGAGACGGCCTTACTCTCGCGGATGACCTGTTCCTTGGGAATGATTTTCCGAGATTTGAGTTCCACAACAAGCTCATCTACAGGATGTTGGCGGACAAGATTCGCAACCACGAAGAATTTCTTTACAGCATGTTAGTGATTTGATCGATTCTTAGAAACACTCGCAGAAAGGGCATCGTTGGTTTGAAGGACGACAACTCCACTGACCTTATTCGTCAATGCATAAGTCATGACCACATTATTGGGGTAATTTGCCTTCTTACGAAGATGACTCGTGACGTCCGCCGGCTGAGTCGTGCCGGGTCGATTTTTGAGCCCACGAAGATTCGCTTTGACCTCATCAAGGTTGGCCTTAAGCTCCACTTGGTGCGGGAAAGCAATATCGGATTTGGTGTATTGTTTCAGTCCAAAGTCGGCCGCGCAGTAGACCATCACTCTAAGATTCGGGTCATTTTGCAACTCGGTTGCTGTGGTCATATTGAGAGAAATCTTCAGTTCAACGCTATCCCTAGTTTGCTCCCGAACTGATGATAGTTAGCAAGAATGCAACCTTTGGGACTTTGACATGGAAACGGAGTCGAATTCAAGCACACTAGACTGACCTTTGCATTCCATCACGGGAGTGAGGGGCATTATGACAGTGTAAAATGGGCTTTCTTTGAAGGAAAGACGACCTGAACCAACGCATTAGTCTTTCGCGCATCTCATATCTTGGGCTCCTAGATGACCATGCATACCAGGTCCGCCACTGGCAAGTGTAGGGCCCGCCCCCATCGGGTGCGGGCGAGGTTGCGAAGGTGTTGACGGCGCCGTAGGTGGATGAGGGAGTTGGTAGCCTGGCGACGAGGCCTGAAACGTCGACGCTCCGGGTATTGTGATCTGGAAAATGCGCGCTTTTAGAGCATCGAAGCGAACCCCATTGCCTTCCGAGGCAGCGAGACGATCAAGATCTGGAAGTAACATGGGCGTTAACTCACGGTGGCCATGATAAGAAACAAGCCTTTTATATCCCACTGTCATATGAGGGCATTTGCCAAACAAGTGTGTGAAGGCGATTGCCATTTCTCAAATTGCTACGCAGTAAATTCGGAGACAAAACCAAATAGAAGTGGGACAACGAACAGTCAATGATGCGCAGCTGTAAAGACGCCTTTACGCCGGAGACTGCCAGTCCTTCAGATCGGAGCAGCTCCTTCAGTTGGGGAACTGTCAGAGTCTTGATATGAGACACCAGCTTTGGCACGTCTGTCATGTACTCTGCCGACGCCATGGTGATCAATCGAGAAGGCAAGCTGGGGGTAGTGACTTTGGTTGTGATCGTAGAGATAGTGGAACTGAAGGCTCCAAGAGAGCACCTCTCAGGCAGAGTGCAATGCGACGAGGCCCGATATCAAGGCGCCACTCACAGACATCGCTGAGATCACGAGATGACGACAAATCAATCGGAAGGGAGAGCGTGAAGGAAAGAAAAAGGAATCTGTAGGAAAGAGTGAGAAGGAGAGAAATTCAAAAAAGCGGCCTCGACGGAGCAAAGTCCAAGTTCGCAGCGGGCGTCGGCGACTTGCCTGAGCCGCAATTGTCCGTTTCCCCCAAGAAGCCCTCGTTGCGGATGACATAAGACGCTTCCCGGGGTTATCGCGATAAGGAAAAAAAAACCTTGAGTTACGACTTAACATCGAAGATCGCATTCCCCACCGCCGACATTCCAACTGGGCTTTTCTACGAACTTGCAGGCCAAGGATTACTGATTCTGAGTCGCATAAAGAAATATCTAATCAGACAACATGGCGAAAAGTGTCCGTGCCAGCGTCTCCAAGCGCAACCGAGCCAACCTGCGCACTAAGATATTCGGCCCTGTCGTCGATGCCCGCACTGAGCGCCTAGCAGCCAAGCTGCAAGAGATTGCTTCTCAGCCCAAGCCTGAGCATTCTGACAAGAGCAAGATGGAGGTGGAGGATGAGACTGGTATGCCCGCATGTTCCCAGTTGTTCGCATGCTCTCGATCACAGCTCTGATACTATCATTACAGCCGATCAAAATGTCGAGAAAGCTACCGCGGCCGACGAGGGTGAGTTTTCCCCAAAGGCTATGTCAATCGCGCTTGACTGTCAGGTGAAGATCTTGCGAAAAAGGGGGCGCCAGCTAACTTCCTCTGCAGCCATGGACATTGACAACAAGTCCTCCACAACTCGCTCCTCCAAATCTGGACGAGTGCAGAAGCAACACAAGAACCGCCGAACTCGTCCCTCCATCGTCTTCTCCAAGCCCGGCTCCAAGAACAAGAAGGGCGGTCCCAAGAAGAAGTAAATGATCAGGAATGGGAGAGTTTCATGTGCTGGAAAATTTGCGGTTCATCAAGGCGGCAATATAGCAAGATTGTCCGCGGCGTTGGGAGTCTTCTGGGTACATATTGAAAGTCTTTCTTCTGTTTTTGACAAGACCTCGATTTTATGCATTGTTGATGAGACAAGTACATTCCTGCTTTTTCGTCCACACAAAGCAAGAGAACATCAAATCTATATGGACACACACAGACAATCCCGAATGTGGAACTGTCCATCATTCAAATACTCAGTACGTAGCCTTCGAGATTGTACTTTGGTCGTAGAGACTCGAGAGAATCACAGGCGGGTGAAGGCGGTGTGGTCGCGTATCCCTCGATTTGGCAATAATCCCTCGTAATTCGTCTCGCAGGAGCTTTCTACTTCCAGCTTATTCTTGGGTGACACCTAACGCCTCCGTTTTTATTATTGAGTGAAGTGAGGTAGTGAAATGGGTGTCTTCAACTGGGGATGGGCGACTTTATTCGCCAATGTGTTGATTCCCGTGGGCATCTTAATCTTTTCCTCCGGCTTCTTCCCCTATAAGCCGCTCCTGCCGGGCCTAGCAACATTCGAGCAAGCAGATCAAGATGCTACGTCGCCAGTCTTCGACAAGGTTGTGTTCATGGTTGTGGATGCATTGCGAAGGTTGGTTCAGGCTATTGTCAGCTGCTGGTATTCATCGGTGAATTGTTTACTCATGTACCAAATAGTGATTTTGTCTATTCGAATGAATCAGGGTTTCTTTTTACACAAAGGTATGCTCTTGTGTTTGATGTATCGAAGCATAGCAAACCATACACAAAATTATCAATCAGTAGGCATTGGTTTCAACAGTCCTGGATGCTAACTTTTCTTTCAGTCTTATTCGTTCGGGGGTTGCATTGCCCTTTACAGCTCATGCTAGCTCACCGACCGTTACTATGCCCCGTCTGAAGGCCATGACGACCGGCTCAGTGCCTTCCTTCTTGGATGTGATTCTCAATATTGCAGAATCAGATACATCGTCGAATTTGGCTTTTCAAGACACTTGGCTGGCGCAAATCAAAGCCAGAGGCGACCAGCTTGTCATGTACGGTGATGATACATGGCTTAAACTGTTTCCTGGAATGTTCGGCCGATCAGATGGTACCACGAGTTTCTTTGTGTCGGTGAGTTGACCCTGGGTATTAACGCGCAAATTCGTGCATCGTTTTCTTGATCATAAAAAGTAATTATGAGCTCTCGCAGGACTTTGTGGAAGTAGACAACAATGTCACTCGCCATATTCCGGATGAGCTGGCGCAAAGCGACTGGTCGGCTATGATCATGCATTATCTGGGACTTGACCATATCGGTCACAAAGCAGGGCCTAAAAGGTATGCCTGCCTCTCAAGTTGCATGAATCATAAGGTATCTCCTTTTGACGCCGTCGCGTACTAGCTCGCACATGCTTCCAAAGCAGCAAGAAATGGACACGATAGTCAATCAAGTCTACACTCAAATTGAACAGCAACCGCATCTTCAATCAACCCTTTTTGTACTTTGTGGAGACCACGGTATGAATGATGCCGGCAACCACGGTGGTGCCTCGGCTGGTGAAACATCGCCGGCCTTGCTATTCATTTCTCCCAAGTTCGCCTCGCTCGATCTTCGCCAAAGCAGTCCAATTGAACCATTTGATGATCTGCAATATTATCGTACTGTTGAACAAGCCGACATCACGCCCACTCTTGCAGGTCTTCTAGGCCTACCGGTACCACTCAACAGTCTGGGAGTCTTTATTCCTGAATTCCTTGATCTTTGGGATGATCGTAAGTCTTTTGTACCCTAGCCCCTGCTACTTGCGACTGTGGAAGCCTCGTTGACTAAATTCCTTTGTCAAGAATCGACTCGACTTCATGTCTTGTACCGGAATGCTCGGCAACTGTTGAACACGGTCCAGGCCACCTTTCCCAGTTTCACCTTCGATGCCGCAAGTCTTGCGCACAGCTGCATGATGGAGCCTGATTCCAGCATCGAAGGCGCTCGGTGCGCGTGGTCTCGAGTACTTCGAGAAACCTCGAGTGGTAACGTGATCGAAAGGGACTTTGAGGCTCTGGAATCATCTCTTCTGCAGTTTTCCCGGATCGCACAGAATTTGATGAGTAGCACTGCGAGCAATTACGACGTGTCGAGGCTTTCGCTGGGCTTGTTGATCACTGCTGTAGCGGCCCTCGTCGTGTCTCCGATTACTTATCAAGAATGCAGACGATCCACATACACTGGGTTTTTCCTGTTATTCTTGATAATCGGTTATGGAAGCATGATGTTTGCAAGCAGCTATGTTGAAGAGGAGCAGCAATTCTGGTACTGGATATGCTCTGGCTGGATGGTTTATCTGCACATTCGCTCTGCCTCTTCCAACACGACCGCATCATCTTCCAGGGCCGGTTTTTACTCGGCAAATGCCGGAAAAACCGCAATCTTAGGCTTTGCGATTGCTCTCAGATTGGTTCGTCGGTGGAACCAGACGGGCCAGAAGTTTGCCGCCGAGCCAGACATTGCTCGTGCTTTCTTCCCTTCTCATCGACCCATTTTTTGGGCACTTTTCATGTTGACATATGCGGACGCGGGTCTTCGCCTATGGCGAAGCTTGCCGTCTACTGTATTGAAGATGGGTGGCGTGACTTTGGCGGCTCTGGCCTGTGTGTTCAAGTTGAACTTTGTGGCCAATGACTCCCCCGAGCTGATAGTAGATACTATTCTGTCGAGGATTGCGGAAGGATGGCCATCAAGTACTTCCCTAGTGTTGCAGGCACGACTCATCTTCAGTGGTCTCGGGGGCTGTGTGTTGATCGCCCTGGCGCTGCGTAGTCGGTCCGATGAAAATAAAGGTAAGAAGGCTCTTGTTGACCCGGTCAATTGGGTGCGTCGCGAGATTCTCACGATGCTGACAAATGTACGACTATAGCACCCAGTAAACTTCTTCATGAAGCGCTGCATTTGTTCCTCATGACTCAGTCACGAGCGACTAACATTCCTCTCTTCCTCGTGTTCCGCATCGCAGTGTGGTCGTTGTCCTCAATGGAACTCTCGGACATGGAAGTGACAATTACGACCATGATCCTTCAGTATACGAGCTTCTTCGCTTTTGGAGGCTCCAATGCGATCTCTTCGGTGGATCTCTCCAGCGCGTACAACGGCGTCGGCAGCTATAGCGTGGCGATGGTCGGCATCTTGACGTTTGTCAGCAACTGGGCAGGTCCGATCTGGTGGGTGTCCGCTGGCCATTTGCTCCGAGGTCATCAGGAGCATGGCGGGGAGAGCCATAACGCGGCTGCTCTGCTCACATTCCACGTTGCCGCATCGGCGTTGTCCGTTATGGCAGCGTGCACTGCACTGCGTACGCATCTATTCATTTGGACCGTGTTCTCGCCCAAATATCTGTACACAATCGCATGGGCGACCGCAAACCATGTTGCAGTGAACCTGCTCGGTGTTGCCGGTCTCTCCCTCCTTGAGCGTCGAAGATAGATTGACTTTCAAAGCAGCTAGATCAATGCAATATCTAAGATCGCAAAGATACACCCTCGCTACTTCGCAACTAGCAAACAGTGCTGTAGAGTTCTTCGATCAGGTCTCACAGTAAACCACTGAACAAATCATCAATAGCGTTCTTCTTTTTCTTGGTCTTCTTCAACTTCTTAGCCGGAGCAGCAGCAGGTTCATCTACAGTCATACTCGACTTTTTCGCTTTTCCCTTAGGCTTGGCTACTTCGGTCTCCAATTCAGACGAAGCCACAGCACCAAGGTCAGCCCGACTGACGCGTTCGCCGCGATCTTCAACGGGGGCAGGAGCAGCGGACGAGATTTTCTTGACTGGCGCCTTAGGATTTGGACGCTTCTCTACTTTCTCCTTGAGCTTGATGCCCGCCGCTTTGGCAAAGCGAGACAAGGTCGCCATGAGCACGATCCCCAGAGCCATGAATTGATTCTCAGCAACGACTGTAGAGAAAGCCCTGTTGCTCAGACATTAGTAACCCCGACGTTTCCCAACTGTCCTTCGCAGCGCGGCTTGTTTCAGCGCAGGTATCAATGGACATACAAATAGCACCTAGGAATCAAATGCGTCGAAAGATATTCCCTGTGGGACGGCGATACAGCAACCGCGACTTTTGTTGACTCGCGGGACCCCAGATCTAACGCGGTACGTTTGAGTTGCGAGAGCCATTTCCACCATTTCGCGTGGCGGTGTTGATTCTTGTTGCGGTGGTAGACAAGGTGCAGTATGTCATGAACTGCACGTATTTCTTGTGCGTCCATGGCGCTGACTGACTTTACTTTTCTTTTCTGCCAAAGGGATGGGTAGTATGTTGAAAAGGAAGCCAGAGGAAGTAAGTGAGGCGGCCGGTCTCCAATTTTTTGGGGGGGGGGGGGGGGGGGGGGGGGGGCACGGGCACGTTCCGCTCGGCGGTAAATTGCCAAGTCCGCTTGGTGATGACAATCCATGCCTGGCAAATTGTTACAGTGCCTAATTGCATGGAGGCAAAAGCACAACTCAAATATGATCATCTTTCGTGAGAAGCTTTGACTAGTAGGCATCGGAGCTTACTCTTTGACATCTTAAATTTACAATATGTACACAAGGCTGGTTATTGGTCAGACAGCCAACGACAGGGTCTACGTACTACACCCAAGTCGACACAACAAATGCGGCGCTGGCAATTGAGAACGAGACGAGAGCAAAAGCGGAAACTTCAAAAGGAAGCACGAATAAATTGTGAAATCATCAAGTCATCGAAGCAGAACCAGACCCATGAAGTGAAGAGGCTCCAGATCCCAAACCCCGGACCTCAAGACCCAAAGACCCGATCATCACTCACTTGGACATTGCAGGTGAACAATCAGGAAGATTACCGACCGTCTTCCCATCCAGTAATCGGCCACCGCTCTAAGCAAAGCGAAGAGTCAGACGAAACTCAAGCGAGGACTAGGTAGTGCACTAAACACGTCCTGGTTGAGTGTCCTATTGGAGGAAACCGTACACTTCACCCAGCACGATGTAGTCCTCTTTCGACTTCTTACATGCTGAGCTTGAAAGCCCAGAAGCAGACGCAGAGATTGGACCATAGTCGTGGAAAGCGCTTTGAGGCAGCTAGTAACTACCAGACCGGAAGCTCCGGATGTTATCCCCGCGTAGCAGAACAGGCCCAGCGAAGCGAGAAGGAGGAGTGATGCCGTCGAAATTGGCTGGGTCTGCGCGCGACTCTGGAGATCGACATTGCCAGTCTACTCAGGAGAATAATGGAAACCACAAGCTGATTGACTGAACGGTAGTCTCGAGTCGACACAGGCTTGGGCGTTCTGTTCACCCCAACGATGATCTTGCCAGCCCGTGGTGGGTTGACAGCGAGGGTGGCCATTTCGCTTGTACCCACATCCCTCTATATTCATGGCGTGTACCGGATCCACGAAATTGACATCATTCACAAGGCCGATATGTTGATGGCCAGATTGGCCATCATCTTGGCGAATCGGGCCATTGGCGTGGGAACGCTCCTGTCGTCGGGAGTTGCACTGTGGATGACCAAAGTGTGTTAGTCACGAGTTGAAGCTCCATTACTAACCTGAGTCAAAGCTCGCGAAAGGAGGAACATATCATGTGGCGAGAGCAGAGAACAGAGGTTGTACTAACCGAGAGGCCTTTTCATAACGAGATGAGCGTGGACTGGGCCGAGGCCGAGACGATAGGATTTGAAATTCAATCTTCGAGGTCAGCGGCACCATTCCACTAGGGCTAGTTCCACCGGACAGGACGGGGACTTTGTGAGATATATCATGATTGGCTCCGGTGCTGGTATAAGGGAGAAACGGGTTCTTCAAGAGACCGAGGGATGCCAAACACGTGAAAGGGTCGTGAAGAAACTCGTGAAAACATACCTGGTTTTTTTCTTTGAGTGAACACTTCTCGCAAAGCATCTAGCGTAGAAGCGACGCGGATCTCCTCCAAAAATAAGATGAATGCCAAGGTCAAGTGACGTGAGACGAGATTCAAAGCAACGTAAGACTGATGGAACGAAGCCCTCGCACTGGCGTTGAGATAGCAGGAAGGAAAGAAGAAAGGATACAAAAGATCACGGAGGAACGTTTAATATTCCAGTCTCTGTATAGCATTGTTTTGCTTCGGGCAGACAATACGCATTAATACGTCTGATAGAGAAAGAGCTGCCAACGACATAATCATCGAGTAGGTCTCTGCCATTGGCCCATTTGAGTATCATTTGTCGGCTTTCGCAATTGCCATTTCGGGCCCTCATTAAATTTTGATTGCAAAATTACAGTTATCTGAGAGTTTCTTAAGATGTCACGAACATCATGCACAGGCGACTGATGGCACACACTGTTGGCATGAGCCCCCCAACAGAAGAGCGGTAGTGTCTGCCATACATGAACCCTTTGATTCAAACCGAGGCAGCTATTCGTAATTCCACAAAGATTCAATGAGCTTTAATCACATGCAGCCCAGAACGAGCTAGCAAATCCTTGTCAGACTCGTTGAATGTTCTCGGAGAATAAGTTAAAGGGTTTTGGCCCGAATAGAGCAGCAGGAGCCAAGGAGATTGCCAACATTTGAGGTGCACAGTACGAGAAGCAATCTAGACTCACTAAACTCGCACGTCATGTGAACGAATTCGAGTGATGACATGTGACACTGATACTTAGGTTAAATAGGCGTCATACTGGGATCGAGGCCGACTTGAGTTCTATATGGCCCGTGCGGTACCATTCCACAACCGGGGTAACGCTTGGACCTGAGCAACACTCCGATAACGATAACAACCTTCCGCTTGAGGTTAATTTCGACGACAGCGCAAGCCAGGAGGCCACATTGCGGGGGAGCCGAGGCAAAGATGGCTGCTCTTAATGGATCAGGCGTGCTGAATCAGGTGAGCCTCCTCTTCAGTTCGCTCGAGCAGACCGAGTGCTAACAGCACTTCTAGATCATCATATCGCCGTCAGACACCGATTATCTGGACCAGCTCATCCCGTCGATCCGTGAGCACAGCATCGGGAACCGAACGCCGCAGCTACTACAATCCCTCGCACGGTTCGCAAGTGACAAAGAAGCTGAGATCGAAAGTATCTGTAACACGAACCACCAGGATTTCGTCTCCTCGGTCAACTCCCTGCTTCGAATTCGCGAAGGGACCGTCACACTTACGACTGAGATTCTTGATCTCAACCAGTCAATCCAGACCAGCACAGAGCGACTCGCAGAGCAAAAGAAGGCACTCGTGGAGTCTCGAAGCCATCGGCAAAATATCGATGAAACGTCACGAGCGATCCGCGACTGTCTTGAGGTCCTGCGATTGGCGAACCAAGTTCATGACCTACTAGCCAAGAAGAACCACTATGCCGCCCTGCGAGCGTTAGAAGAGTTACAAAATGTACACTTGAAAGGAGTAACACAGTATCAGATCGCGGAAATGATACAAAGATCAGTACCGGCAACACAACGGGCGATTGCCGAGGCCGTCATGTCCGACTTGAACACTTGGCTGTATCGCATTCGAGAAATGTCACCATTCTTGGGCGAACTGGCGCTGTTCCACACCGATCAGCGCAAGTCGAGACTGAAAGAGCGCGCAGGAAACATTCCGTTTCTGGAGAACTTCAACTTGAACTCTGCCATCGAGCTGGTAGCGGATGAAGATGAAGAGTACGATTTACTGCAAAACGAGGATCTGCAAGTGCCATTTGCGCCCTTGTTCGAGTGTCTGCATATCCATCAATCATTGGGCCTGATGGATAAATTCAAAATCGAATATGCGAATACACGTCGTCGACAAAAAGACCTTTTACTCCCCGCTTCAGTCACCCTCGTAGACGAAGATGGCGCAAGTCTGCACAACTTACTCGAGGAAATGGCTGGATTTGCCATTGTCGAGCGTGCGACAATGAAGAGAGTGCCAGACTTGAGGTCACCGGTCGAGGTATGTGTTGGGAACATTCTGGCGTGCCAGACTAGTCATGATTACTGACCCCTCTATCAGATCGACGAGCTCTGGGACTCATCCTGTCAAGCTGCAGTGGGTGTGATCTCAAAGGCCCTCCACGAAGTAGACAATGCAGAAAGCATTTTGAAGACGAAAAATCTGATTGCGCTTTTCATGCAGACCATGAATGTAGGGGCCCTTTCTCTGTGCTCCTCGGTCATTCCTCCAGTTCAACGTACTAACATGTCTTACTTAAACAGACATGGGGCTTTTCTGTCAGGGTCTTTGATGATTTCCTTCTGAAACTTTTCGGCAAATATGCGGAGCTTCTCAAGAAGCGTTTCAGTGACGATTTCCAAGAGGTAAGGCGCGTGAACTGTTGCATGGTCCTCAATGTATTGACCGGTTCAGATTGTGTCGACCGATGACTATATGCCAATGCCCATACAAACACCCGAGGAGTACGACAAAGTACTCAACGTCAGCTGGTACAATCCTGACAAGCCCCGGGAGGAGCAATCGTACGTGTGTCCTTACCCTCTTTTCTACAGATACGCGCTGACTTGATGAAGATTCCCATGCATTCTACCCTTTTCGAGAATGTACCCCTTATGCTGCATCGACATCCGCAACTTCCTCAACCAATTCTATTTTTTCGCCAATGACGAGTTCTCACATCCTAATGTCATTGACGAGACGCTCAAAGATGTAGGTCCAATCTGGATCACGGGAGTGCCTGCGATTTTCTAATGCTTCCTTATAGGCACTGGACGACCTTCTCTCTCGCAAAGTTTGTGACACCCTCGTGGAACGCCTTTCTTCACAGTATCTAGGTCAGATAGTGCAGATCCTGATCAATCTCGAACACTTCGAACTGGCTTGCCGCGAGCTGGAGCTGCTTCTCGCAGCTGCGAGATCGCAAAACTCAACAAGCACTTCTATTGCTCTTAGAGCCACAGAGAAGTTCAAGAGTAACAAAAAGGCTGCCGAGAAGCGCATTTTCGAGGTGGTCAATTCCAAGATCGACGATCTCGTTGAGACTGCAGAGTATGATTGGATGGCTCCTCAGCCACCCAAGGAACCGAGCAATTACATGCAAACCCTGACACGATTCTTGTCCAATATCATGAACTCGACTCTGCTGGGTCTGCCTACCGAGATTAAAGAGTTGATCTATTTTGATGCGCTCAGCCACGCCGCGAACATGATCCTGGTAAGACGCAAAACCTTTCAACAACTGACATTCAAACTGTGGCTCACGTTATTCCCAGGCCCAACCCCTTTCTCCCGAAGTCAAAACAATTAACCCGAATGGTGTCGCCGCCCTTGCAAAAGATGTGGAGTACTTGGCGCAATTTGTGGACAGTCTCAATGTACCGATTCTTCGTGAGAATCTGGACGAGCTTCAGCAAACAGTGCAGCTCATGCAAGCTGAGAATGCGGACGAATTTTACGACATTTCCACCCGCAACAAGAAATACGGTCGTGTGGATGCTATGCAAGGCCCCATACTGCTTGAAAAGTACGAGTGAATGTCTGCCATCCCTGTCTTAGGTATTTCACTAACTTGTTGTTCTGCAGATTAACCCGAACCGTACAAGCGCCGAGCAAGGTCGACAAATTCGTGAACTTGTCATCACGCTTCAAGAAGACATGATATCTTAGCGTTAGCGATATGAATGGTAGTCAAGTCAACATCTCGTTTGGCTGAAGTGATTGAGCGTCGCCTCCTTACGTTGCCATGAGTATTTCAAGGTGGCGCTTCCTTGATTAAGAAAGACTGAACTTCCGGATACAGAGTATTCTTTGCTTTGTTTCGGAAGGAGAGACAACAGACATCACGTTGCAAGCCAATAATGGCAGATATTTGCAAAAGTCCGAAGGTTCACTCGCTTACTCTGAACTCGCATAATGTAGGGAGATAGATTGACTAAGATATGAACTGCATTTATGAAAGGGAATCCGGTGGGTAGCAGACAGGTGACCGAAGACAATAGACATGAACAATTCAGCATAAAAAGACTCTCATTTCGCCAGGGAAGACAGTATACGCCACTCATATAACACAACTCTAGAAAATATTCTTGCTGTTGAATGTAGCTCTCACTGTGACGGATTAGCCCTTGACACAACATGTCTATCATCAGAGTTGACTCAGGATTTACGAACCTGCTGAGGAGGCATTTGATGATAAGCATACATGCCCTCAAAGATCTGTGGCTGTGGCTGGCCATACGCGCCAGTTGGATCCTGCTGCACAGCCCCAGGATACATCGCCTGCTGCTGGCGATACTCATTCTCCTGGGGCATGCCGTGTGGGCCTAGAGAACCGTAGTCCGTGGGACCCATGTGCTGAGACAGACCGTGCTGAGTCGGCGGCATCTGACCTGGGCCTGGAGCCTGACCTGGCCCACCGGCGCCAGCCTGACTGGATCGCTTCGCGTGGGAAGTGGCCTCTTCGCGCGGGACAATATCGATCAAGAAGTCGAACATGTCTGACTTGGACAGCGCTGCGGCAATATCGGATCGCTGGAGTGTGCGTCGCTTGTTATCCTCCGCATGAATCCAAGCGCGCATTGTCAGCTCAGTAATGAAGATGTCGCAGCCCTTGGCGAACAGGATGGGCGCTTCGGCAGAGATCATCTTCACTTCCGGGTCCGCCTTCATGACCTTTTTGATACGCGCGAGGGGAAGCTGGTGGATCTTGTAATCGTGGTTGTCGGTTTCCAGATGACTGATCACATGTTGCCAGTAGGTAGTGAGAATATCACGGGCTGTGCCCTGAAGCCCTTGGTTGACCTGGTCATGGTGTAAGCGGAGGAGGGTCGTTTATGGGGATTTGGATACAGTGCGGGCTTTGTCTCTCACATTTGCCCAGGTACCAGTGTAAAGGTCGGAAACGGGCGCGAATCCCTGTGCGGCGAGCTAAAAGAGACCAGTAGCAAGTCAGTCGACATGTATTGAACTTGGGATGAATGGTGCGCGTGGGGCTCGAGGTTTGCGACGATGGGATGAAAGCATACCGCAGCACTCGCTCCTGTAGTCATGTCAATCAGTACCGAACTATGAAAAGGGATACGGGAATGATACGCATTTGCATCGCATTCTAATCAGAAACACTTCGCTTCTGCATCGCGACATGCGCAATCTCCGAGCTTCTGGATTAGAGGGATTTATGATTACCGTAGTGGCCACCGTTCCGCACATCGTAGAGAGCGCCTGGCTGAGGCTGCTGTTGTTGCTGTTGTTGCTGTCTAGCTTGCTGCTGGGCATTCTGCGAAGCTTGGTCCATGATGGCGCAATTGGTAGTAGAAACGATGTGTGAATACGGTTACAGCGAGAGCTGAACGATTTCTGTTCGGGGTAAGCTTCGCTGCGTCGCGTCGACTAGCAGTTAATGGACGTGATCAGGCGCGACCGGAGCAAGAAATGCGGAAAATGCGGAAAGGGTATCAATCTTCGATCGATCAGGCGCTTGCGATTCAGCAATTTGAAAGAGGAACTTTGTTGACGATTCAGTGAGTGGTAGATCTATTGGCGATTTACGCGAACGCGAAGTGATGCGCTTTCACAGCTATGGGACCTTCTTCCCCGCTCTCCAGTTCCGCCCGAATTAGGCCCTACTCTTGACTGAAGCTAGTTGATGGGAAGTGATGGACAGTAGTTATTTGGAGCTCTACAATGCGGCTATACTTGCTAGTTTACACTGTCCGGAGCCACGCAGTCTCACGTGAATCTTGCAAAAGTAAGTTGCGACACTCTGCGACCAGGACATGAGACAACTCAGCGATATACAGCAGTTGTCTTTGTAGTTCGCACTAGGTCCTGTGTAGGACTGTAGGCGGTGGGCTCGATACTTTCTCGGTCGCATGACTTCCGTGGTCGATCGAGTCTCGAGATCCATAATTGTACCGGCAGAAACCATAGTGCACTTCACCGCCGGGAAAAGGTCACATGACACTGCAGAGTCCCCGAGACGCGTCGCACAATCGTTCTTCCGTACCGATGGAGCTGCAACTGAAAAAAAAAAAAATCGTATAAAGCCCGCGGCCTCATCACATCACCTTCAATTCTTGAGGTTTCTTCGGCCCTGATTCTGCAGGGATGAGTGATACCACAGTCATGGGATCCACTCCCCCTCAAGAGGACGTGGAGCTGTCTGATGATCAGATTCAACAGCTTTTACTTGAGGCTGAGGGCCGCCTGGGTGGTACAAGCACACAGGTCGCCCCAGTCGATATTTCTTCCATCAAGTATGTTGAGACTCTTTTTCGCTGTGTTCTCGCAGCAATTAACTAACCTCGATCTCTAGAATCCCAAAGCTGGCTACCAGCTCTGAACTAAAGCCCTACATGCGTCCTGGCGCTGAGGCAGTTGCTACCGTTAACTCGGCCCAGCTCATCGATCCCAAGCAAAAGGAGTTGTCCAACATTCTTCGTCCAGCTTCAACCAAGCCCGCCGCCAAGAAGGTAAGCGTAACCCTTTCCACTGTCTCTGTCATGTCTCCCTGTAAGACTTTTTCATCTGCTATGAGGAAAATTATCCCAACGCATAAGCGCTTGATGCGGCGTCCTCAGTCCGTCTTGGGCTGTGCTGCACTAGTGAGAGCTTCATTTTCATAGTTACTCTGAGCAAACACACTACTGCCTCTCTATTATTTTGGATGACGCTTCTGTGAATTTGGATCACTGACTCGGTTTATCCTACAGGACAAGGCCACCGCTGGACCTGATTGGTTCAACCTTCCCAAGACCGAATTGACCTCGGAACTCAAGAGAGATCTTCAGCTCATCCGGATGCGTTCAGTCTTGGACCCCAAGAGACATTACAAGAAGGAGAACGGCAAGGCCAAGATCCCTGAGTTTTCTCAGGTTGGCACGATCATCCAAGGTCCCACCGAGTTCTTCAGCAGCCGTATCACCAAGAAGGACCGCAAGAAGAACTTTGTCGAAGAAGTCTTGGCTTCCGAGCGTCAAAATCACCGCTTCGAGTCCAAGTACCGCGACATTCAAGCCCACAAGACCAGTGGCAAGAAGGCATTCTACAAGGAGCTGCAAGCGAAGAGAAATCGCAAGCTTAAGTGAAAGTAGATTGGGTACGCGGCCAGTCATCTGCCGTTTGTTCATTCATTCATTGCTTCGCATTTTTTTCAAAGTCTTTCCGGATGCGGGGCTATATATGCATATGGGTTGTTATGTGCATCGAACCATGAGGAGACTCTCGTCTACGCCGGCGCAAAAACCTTCACCAAGCTTTGCAAAACCAGTTTCTGCTTGGGTCAGTCGAGGTGTGCGAACCAGTTTGAAGGTTAGGAAAGGAAAGCCTACCTGCATATCTAGAGCTGCATTGCGCCCCGCTTCGAGCACTTCCTCGTGTCCGGCCTTGCCCTCTTCGATCAGGGCGTTGAGCTGACCAGCGTCCTTGCCCTCGAGCGCCTGCTCGTCTCCACGAGTCACTGGTGCCAATACAGCATTGTTGGTGACCAGGCTGAATGCCAGAACTCGCAGCCCGCAGTGCCGGGCTACGACAATCTCCGGCACGGTCGACATACCGACCACGTCGGCACCTAGCATGCGCAGCATGCGACTTTCCGCGCGTGTCTCATATCTGCCCTTGCTGTTAGCCGTCGGACATGATTCGAATCGATCATTTGCAGATTGACTCACGTGGGTCCGCTGACAAAGGCATAAACTCCTTCGTGCAGCTTCCTCGTGCTGTCGGGAGAGATGACATCCTTCCATGCCTGGTGCACCTGACGACGAAGGTCCAGGTCATAGGCGTCTGACAACGGAGGGAAGCGAACACCCAACTGCTCGTCATTGGGTCCACGCAGGGGATGCACGCCGGCCAGACCTGCCATGAAGATGTGCTGTTGAGTGAGAACCAATTAGCCAAGTCATGTGAGATGATCAACTGGGAGAGATCTGGAGGGGGGGGTTTCTTGCATCATTTAGCAGGACAATATCGCCCACGTTGTAGTCAGAATTGAGGCCACCGGCCGCATTGGTTACTGCCATCATTCTTCATGTTAGATTCCTTTTCACCTGTAGCTTTTGTAGATATTCACGCGCATGGTGTCTGCTGGCGGTCGACTTACAAACCACGGTGTCCACACCCAGCTGCTTGAACACACGGATGGGAAAAGTGACCTGATCCATTGCATGTCCCTCGTAAAAGCTGCGATCTGAATCAGTTCCAAAGCATGATCGAGTGAAATTCTGGCATTCAGCACTCACTGCGCACGACCAACCATCAAAACCGCCGGAATCTTCTGGTCCAACAAACCAAAGACCAGCTTCCCCGCATGCCCAGCAACTGCATCAGCACCATCTCATCAGCAATCCATGTTTACTTTCCATAGTGTTTCCCTTCCCCTGCTTCTCCCCATGCACACTCCATCTAACTCACCCGTTGGACGAGGAAAGTGAGGAATCGACGCATAGTCGAACTCCGCTCGTCCGTCCTTGTGTACCGTATCAGCCAATCCTCCCAGTCCCGAGCCGCATACAATCGCCACTTTGGGCGACTGCAGACCCTGGGGTAGAGTGCTTCGGAGGAAAGCCACAGCCTCATTGGCGCGGTCAAGGGAGGACATGTCGGCTTTGCTCATTGTTTTGCACCTTAGCTGAGAGATTTGGAGGCGAAAGTCTCTGTCCAGAGAAGCAAGAGAGAAGAGAGAAGAGAGAAGGGAAAGAGGGAAAAGGAAAGAAAAAAGTCTATGCCGTCGACGGAGGGGGATTATTCTGGTTGCATGTGGGGGGGGGGGGGGGGGGGGGGGGAAAGGGCTTTTTTGATGCTGCGGAGGATCAGGAGCGGGCGAGCCTTATTGGCTCTCCGCTGCTGGTCTGATGATACCCTCGAGGAAGGCATGTGAATTGAAGGAAATGGGCCTTGACTTCGTTATATGTTGGAGATGTGAGTGTAATTTTTCAAAGGGTTTAGACAGTGCGTTCTTAGTAGATTGCGTGTAGAACATCGTTGTGGACCACCATGTTCCTCAGAATTGCTGGGTATCTATAGTTAGAACTCAGCAGAGCTTTGAAGCCGCATCGGTTATATTCCAGTTGGAGTCTACACATGGACGTCTAGTCAACCACTTCTAGCATTTACGAGACATTCAATTCACACCACCTATCAAAATTATGCGACCTCGATACCAGTACCAGGAAACATACCGTTCACCATTCAATTTCCAGCTCGAGCCGTGGAAGAATGTCAGGTGTAGCCGCGGATAGGGTCGAAGAACCAAACGGCATTCTGGAACGGGTCGACGACGCTTCACGCTCAAAGGCGGTCAGGTCAGCCTCCATCACCGTCCGGCGTCAAGTCGCCGAAAAAAAACCCGCACCGACACAGATCAACAACATCATACGTATCGACCATGTTTCTCGGCACGACACGCTCCCTGGTCGGAGCCAGCAAGCGCTTATGGGTATGGAGACAATTTTCGAACTCATTCGACCGAGGTGTCACGAATCCAGGCCATTGACGCTATGATAGACCCCGATCTCCATCCGCTCATTATCAACCCCGAACCAGCCAAGCGCGCCGTCCACCAAGACATCAACGACAGCTCCTCAGATCAAGGCTGAGCCAACACCCACATCCGCGACCTCTCCCACATCTGCAACGTGAGCACCCTGTACAGCTGCGAAACAACGACCGCCAAGGAATACTGCGAGGAAATAACTAACCGGACTCTTTGCCCCATCCAGTCCCATGCCTGTCAAGGAATCTGCCGCTTTCGAAAAGCCCCCAGTGAAAGAATGGTTAGTTGAGCTCTGGCGATCCCTCACAACTCTTTTCAACGTTCTCGTGCTCATTATTTTTCTTTTTCTCGAGTATTCCAGGTCCGACCGGTTAGCAGACCTTGAAAAGAATGCGCGACTTCCCCGAAGTGTCCAGGCCCTCTACCTCCGCCCGCTGCGCCGCAAGGCCGAACATGGTCTGCCCGTGTGCGACCTTCAATTGCGCTCCTACAGCGCCGAGAACCTCGAATTCTTCGCCGACTTTGCCATTCGCGCCGCTTACTACCTCAAACTCCCCGTCTCCGGCCCCGTACCTCTTCCCCGCATCACTCAGCGCTGGACCGTGATTCGCAGTAACTTTGTGCACAAGAAGAGTAAGGAGAACTTTGAGCGGATCACGCTCCGCCGGTTGATTCAGATCAAGGATGGTCATCCCGAGGCCGTGCAGGCATGGTTGGCCTTTTTGCGCAAGCACGCCTTTTATGGTGTTGGTATGAAGGCGAATGTTTGGGAGCATGAGAGTCTAGGTATGAGAGATATGAGAGAAGTTTCAACTAGCTTTATCACATTGGACCGTCATGATTCAACTAACATACGTGGTTACAGACGCCGGCAAAGCACTGGATGCCTCTCTTCCCGAGATCCAAAAGACCGTGGGTCCTCATCTCGCCCAATTCGGACAACGAGAGGACAACAAGCGGCCCGGAACTATCTTCGACGCGCTGGATAATGCGAGATATGCGGAGCCCAAGAACCTTTGAGTTTTTGTCAAGAACAATTGACTTGATATGAGTTGAGGGTGGAGAATGAAAGGGAAAGACGACCCTTGGTGCATAGTTCTCCGTTCTTTTTGTTTCGTTCTGCGTCTGATCTGATTTATACGGGGACACACCCGGGCGTCATGTTATACTTGTATTATCACCAGCTCTTTTCTTTTCTGAGGCCAGCAGCCAGGCCCCACATGTACTTTGTTCTGTGATATTGCCAATCTCCGACGAAACGAGATGGCGTCGCTATTCTAAGATTCCCGTGTCTAGCTGGGACAATCGAGCCCAGCGCGTCAATCCTCTAGAATCGTGCTTGATAGCCGAGTCTTCCCCCGCATTGCATGTAGTAGAACCGCTCCAAACACTGCTGAAATTCGAGCAGAGGTACCTCAGCCCTGTAAATCAGAGTAACAGACTTCTTCCATCCCGGACTGTATCAGCCATCGGTCATTTTGAAGCCGAGTCAAGTCACGTGATCTTGGAGATATGTATCGCTTCCCAACACGCGCGAGGCTCGGGTTAGAACAAGCAAAATACGCGAAAAGAAAGACCGGAAACGGTCTAAAACTAAGCAAAAACGAGGACATAGACCTTAAATATCGGGATATACCAGGATCCCAGGGGTTTTCAAGCATGCTGGCGCCCTCATTCCACAAGGGAAGCATCCCGATGAAATCCATCCATGGCCAACTGTGTCGTACAAGGCCTACGATGCCACACGCCCGGCCCATTCGCCGGCCGTACATGAACATCTATCAAACCACTCGACTCAGCAGCAACAAGTCCCCGCAAGCCAACAGCAACACCGCCAAATGCACTCCATCTGGCCCCTCACCTCGAGTGGTTTTCTCCGGCATCCAACCCACCGGAGTGCCCCATCTAGGAAACTACCTCGGGGCACTGCGAGAATGGGTGAAACTCCAGGACGAGGCCGAGCCCGGCACGAAGTTGATTTTCTCGATTGTGGATCTCCATGCTTTGACGGTGTCGCAGGAGGCGGCGCAGTTGAGGAGGTGGAGGAAGGAGGCGTTTGCGACGCTCCTCGCGGTGGGATTGGATCCGAAGCGGTCGACGATTTTTTATCAATCGGAGGTAGGTCATGCTTTGATGAAGAGGAGGAGAGGAGAGGAGAGGAGGGGTGAGGGTATGATTGAGGGTTCAGTCTTTGAGACTGGATGAGTTTGATTATAGTACATGCTGAGATGACTTTCGATGCCAACTTGTGCAAGTATGGGATCTTTCTGATCTGTGATTACTGATCTTTGGCTCGTGTCAGTAGGTTCCAGCTCATGCAGAACTGATGTGGATTCTGAGCACCGTGGCATCGATGGGATACCTATCACGAATGACTCAATGGAAGGTAAGCTTTTTGACTCCCACCCTTCTTTCTTGTAGAAAGAAAAAAACCCCCCCCCCAAGCTGGCACAAGCAATGAGTCTTATCTTACCTAACGCGGTCCCCGAGCTACTCGTCATTCAAGCGAGATGAAGCCTGAAGAGAGAAGGAAAGACTAACCGACGCTTCTACAGAGCAAATTACAACTACCCGAGGACACAACGCTTGAACAAGCAGATGCGCGAGCTCAATTACGTCTGGGACTCTTCTCTTACCCGGTTCTTCAGGCCGCTGATATTCTGGTTCACAGGTGCGTGGGACAGCATAGATTTGACTTGATTCCAGACCTTGTCCCGTTGGGCTTGCACAAGCACGAGCACAAGCACAAACACACGCAATAAGCAGTAAGCAAAGGAATCATAGCTAATGCTATTCATAACACAAGGGCAACGCATGTCCCCGTGGGCGAGGACCAACGACAACATTTGGAATTTTCCAGATATACAGCGAATAGCTTCAATCATCTCTACGGGCCCATCTTTCCTATCCCAGAAGCTCAAATCTGTAAGTGGACCATGAAACTTGACAAGAAGAAGAAGTTTCACACCCTTCTTCCACCCTCTCCCTGATGAACCAATTCTCACAACCAATCTACTCACCCTCATTCAGCCCCCGCCAAACGAGTCATGTCCCTCAAAGAACCCACCTCGAAAATGTCCAAATCTCACCCGGACCCCAAATCCCGCATCCTTCTCACCGACAGCCCCTCCACCATCCACAAAAAGATCAAAGTGGCCCTGACCGACTCCCAACCCCTCATCACCTACGACCCCGCCCACAGGCCGGGCGTGTCCAACCTACTCGAGATCCTGAGCCACTTTGAGAGCCGGTCGTGCGAGCAGATTGCGGGCGAATTCGAGGGGGCGAGTCTCCGGGTGCTGAAGGAGCACGTGGCGGCGAGGATTAGTGCGCATTTGGAGGCTGTGAGGGATCGGTATGAGGAGGTGATGGGAGATCGGACGGGGTATTTGAAGAGTGTGGCGAGGGAAGGCGCAGAGAGGGCGGGGGGGAAATGCGAGGGAGACGATGAGGATGGTGAGGGATGTGATGGGGTTATAGAGGGAAGATGAGGATCCTGAGAATCGATGGGGTTTGGCTGTTGTTTAGGTCGAGATGTGGTGAACATCTTCTTTGAGAGGAGTACGACTACTGACTCGTCTGGCGTGCTTTGGTTGGTCTTGTGGATGTGTATGATAGTCGGTGCATTACTGTAAATACTGTAGCTATCATCTGTGTCGCGTGTACGATATGAATGCTGCAACAAATTGCAAGGATCATTACACACTTTTCCCCCATCGACCCGATTGTCTAAGATATTGACCAAAGTCCCCAGAGTCCATCTGCCGTGCCAGAGCCGTGGCTAATAGCTATGTGTTACGTCTACCTCGGTAGCTGGAGGCATGACTGTTCGATGCAGGAGTCATACTTACTAGTAAGATAGTACCTGACTATTGAGTATCGAGTAATCGAACCGCTTTCGAATAAGAGTATCTAGTTATTTGATCGGCAAGACTCTAGGAGGGACAAAGAGTAGGCGTAGACGGGCCATGAGTGACTAAACAAGTGAGCACTTTTAACGACGAGAACTAATTAGAACGCGTAGAGCATAAGTTGAACACTATAATCCGCATCACTCTTGCAACCCGCGCGGTATCAACTTGGCAGCCAGCCTACAAGCCAGCCTACCGACCTACCAGTCGACCAGCCAGCCGACGAGCCGGCCAGCTAAGATGAAAAACAAGGAGCTTGAATTCATTACCTGACACCTACCACCCGCGCTGAAGAGTTGCGACCTGCGAAAGCACGAGAATACGTCTTGTACTGCAGACTTTCCTCGTTCCCTCCGAGATCGCATTGTATGACTTGGAGGCCTGATTTCGTAGGTCGTAGGTCTTTGGCGTGGACGGGTAGGCTGGTAGGCTGGCTGACAGGCTGGCTGCCAAGTTGATATGGTTTGGATAGCAGGATTGAAGCAGAGGGCAGTGCAATGGTGCAATTGAGCAAGATTGCCGCCGATGGGATGCGTAATCTAGAGGGTGATAGATGATGCGACGATGCATACGCCGAATCACTCACTGGACTCTGGAGTAGCGATTGTTGCCAGAGAGTGTGGTGGGGCGTCGGCCGGAGATGGCTCCATTCTTGCCACCGACGTAGCTGCGCATGATCTTGATCCTGATCTTGATCTTTGGTGTTCGTTCAGCACTGGATGATGGATGATGATATTGTTGATGCTTGTACGCCTGAATGCTGGAGGTAGGCGGTCCAGAGAAGGGAAACCCCCTTGAACTTACCTACTAGGCTACTAGTGATTGTCACGGCCACACTGCCCTGTAAGCCCGGACTGAGCCGGACTGTTCCGCAGTGGACATGCTTCAAGGAAAGGGCCACCTCTGTCTTTCAGATACTCAAAGTCTGGCCGTGCTTTACAACACGTGACCTAGCATCTTGCGGCACCACTACAGTAGTACAGTAGTACCCAAATACCTCCTTCTGCCTGAAGGATCCCCGTCTCACTGTCCAGTCTCCACGATCCTCGGATGGTCGGAGACTCGGAACCCAGTCCATCTACGTATCGTTGCGATGACGAGTTCGAGCTTCAATTTGCATCGACTTCAGTCCAGTGGTCCACAATCTAGTTCTACAGTCTACAGTCCACAGTCTACAGTCCACAGTCTACAGTCCACAGTCTACAGTCCACACCGTTCAAGACAGCAACTAACGTACAAACTTGAAACCACAACCCACAAAAGTCACCGTGATTCGAGCGGACCATATTGCACAGTAGTCACGACTCACGACTGACGAGTCACGACTGACGACTGACGAGTCACGACTGACGAGTCACTACGTACTACGTACTACGTAGTATGGTACCCGTACCCGTACCCACTCCAACAAGAGGAAAGTAACGACAAATGATCTCCGCGTCATCACCGATCTGACCTGGATGACCCAGGAGTAAGCCTCTCAGGCAAGCGACTGGGAATCCACAATGCACGCCACGACACGACGCCTCTCCCGCCCCTTCCACGTAGGCCTGCATACGTAGACTCGTGGGGGCGATCGAGCATCGTCGACGTCCAGTCGTTCTGGAATATTTTCGCGTATGCTGGGTCTACCAGTTCCAACCTCCAGCAGAGTACATGAAAAAGACGCGAGATGCGAGGTTGAGAAGAATAATTCCCGACTGGTGGATGATCCACTGGGCAGTCCTGTCACGACTCACTGGTGACTTATGTAGAAGTCCTTGTTGAGTTGTCGATCGTGGCTCAGACGCCACGATCCCTCGAACCGACCGACGAGAGCGAGATGGACTCAAGGTTGGTCTGGGCAATGGCACGAGTTCCCCTATCTTGCTAGACGAGAACGAATCTACCTGCACCTGGTAGCCGGCATCGTATCGGTGGACTGAGACTGCCCAGAAAGGTCACGGGTGACGATGCTGGATGACAGACGAGTCAATCGTTGCTGCCTGACTCCAGCACGAGTCACGGACTCCCGGTCCCACGTCAACTACGTGTTGACTGAGTGAGTACTCAATGCTGGGATCTGGTAGTCTGGTAGTAGTACCTCGGTGACTACTGGGAGTGAGTAAGGTAAGTGAATTAGTTGGATAGGTGGATAGTTGGTTAGATCGTCAAAGTGTAACCGTCCTAGTTGTAGTGCCGGGGTTCCGTCCCGCCGCAGGCTGCTGTTCCGCTGTAATCGATTGCTAGGATGATAGGGTCCAGCCTATAATCTATCATGACAGTTTCCAAGCGCTGGAATAACCTGCTTTGCTGCAGCTGTAGTGCTGTACTATGAATTACAGTAAGCGCTGCTTTGCGCCTGTCCGACAAGGGGTGCTCCTCCACGCGAGTTGGAGATCATCGACAAGTTTGCAAGGGGCGAGGGGGCCGGAAAAAGGCGCCACGATCCAGTGTCAGTGTTCAGTTGTCCACACCTAGCGTCCGGGGAGGTCCACCTAGGATTGCAAAGACGGACCCATGTGGCTGTGGATTTTCCAGGGCTGTAGGACTGTAAAGTGTCCAGTGTCCAGTGTGAGGCCTGCACAGTCGAACGATCTCGTGGTCGAGGAGGTATGTTGGGTGACGAGGAAAAGGCAAGACTCCTCTTCAACCGAGTACGAGAGGAAAGCACACCACGTGAATCCGCCACGGCAAAAACTCCTGTAGAACCTCGCCCCCAACAAAGACGTGGACAGGATGGATCGAGGAGAATCAGTAGAGTACTCGAGTACCGCAGCACAGCACGTCATGGCTCTGCTATAGCAACCTTGGACAGTACAAGTCAGTCAGCGCTAATCGTCCTAGTTTAGCAGTCACTAGTTAGTGCACTCAGCAGTCAGCACTGTACCGGGCAATCATCTCGGGATTTCCACCCTCTCCTCCCTCTCCGACTTGCGGTGTGCAAGTGCCCCGGCAGTCGACAAGCACCAAGTATACTGGTACATCAGCACAGTCTTGTGCCAACGTCCAAGGGGGTCAGCAGCAAGCCCTCCGCTTCACCAAGGCTTGAAACCTTGATCCCAAGCAGTCCAAGCTCCCGACAGGGCAGAAGAAGTCAGGTGACAGAGCCATCGGGCTAAACGTCTGGTCCCTCCCGTCTTGCGGTTGAAGCTTGACTTGTCTATCAGTCGAAAGATCCTCGTCTCTCGCATGGCAAGCAGTACACGAGTTCCGGAGGCTCGAACTGTATGCTCCAAGCATCCTCATCCGGGTCAACCCCCTAATGGGGCGCGAGCTTCGTTGCGTTGCCGGCTGGCCCGGGGGAACTCCACTTCTTTTTTTTTTCTTTTTTTACGCCGTTCCTCTGGTGGTTCTTCTCTGAGTCCCAGCATCCATCGAGGCTCATCTCGATGATTGGCGCCGGTGGAATGACTTGATGAACATCCTATGATCCTACAGTCCGTTCAGCAACCAGCGACCATGGAAAAAGAGAAAAGATCTCGCGTCGAGGGTGAGGATCCACTGTTACGGTTCACCAGTGACCATGTACACTTAATTTACAGGGTGGTTGAGAGTAGTCTGATCGACTTGCTTCCCCGTCCGTGTTGTTCTGAAGGTCTACATGGGTGCATCACTACATAGCGCATAGTCATACTCATGTTCTCGTAGTAGTGAGACTGAGTCGTGACTAGCGATTCAACTGAGTGCATAATTGCATACGACATCTCCGCCTGGACTCGGTACCGCGGCCCCCGGGGGTTGTCCACTGCCCCATAAGGTTGAGGCGTGGTGGTAGATGTCATAATCCATAGTCGTCTCCAGGCTGGAGATCCATCTATGCGTCCTGTTCCTTGTCTGCCTATTTGACTCTGGGTAAGCCTTGCGTACGCGTTCGCTTGACGCTCGAGACGCTGACTTTTAATTTTCTTTTCCCCTTCTCCGTTCCCTTCGTCGTTCTCCCTTTTCGCCCTCTTTGCTTCTCCCCCTCTCAATTCCCTTTTCCCAAAGCCTCGAGGTCGTTGGCGTGGAAGAGACTCACGATCCGCTCCCCGTCCCACCCTTGACTTCAACGCTCCGTCCCATCGTCATAGAAGACCCCGGCTTCCGCCCCGGTTCCAAATCCGGATCAGCAGAGATCCGATATAGATCCCAAGTCCACCGCCGGAGCACGATTGACCAAAAGCTACCGAACGGAATTGAAATCGCGGCGATCTTCACTCTCGATCGCCAGGACTATACACCTAGACACATATACACTCTCAACCTGTCCCCTTCGGTATCCCCCTTGACGGCTTGCCGATCGGCCTCCCATCCCCTCAACCTCTTTCCGCTTTCCGACCGAGTTTGACGGGCGGAAGAAGCCAGTCTCCAAACGAACAGTCGAGATTCCACATCCCCTTTCTTCCACACGATGAAATATTCCTGGTGGTGTGCGGCATCCCTTGCCGCACCGGCATGGGCCAAGCTCACCCTGGTGCCGCGCGATGCGCCCGCGGTGGTGGAAATGAGTACGGAGCGAAATAGGATCTCGAACCCGGTGGCTCGGGATCAAACGCGACGGATGAAGCGAGCGAATAGCGTGCAGGTCACGTTAGATAATGAGGTGAGTGATGAGCCTTGAGGCCCTTGACAGCCGGGTTAGAGTGTACACCAGAAGGTATACTCCAGAAGGTATCCACCAAAAAGAGTGTCCACCTTTTGGTGTATACCGTTCATACCCTACACTCTAGTGACGCTATACAACCTTTGTTTCCACGTTTCTTCCCTTATCACCATGGACGTGTCGAACCAATGCTCATCCATACGCCTCCTTCTATCTAGCAAACACTTTACTTTGCCAACGTCAGTCTCGGCACACCCAAGCAAGATCTTCGCATGGTCATCGACACCGGCAGCAGTGATCTCTGGGTCAATGCGCCCAATTCAACTCTGTGCGAAAACAAGAAAAACCAGTGTCAGATCTCGGGGACATACGATGGCAGCTCCTCGTCGACCTACAAATACGTGAATCCGTACTTTAACATCACGTATGCGGATGGATCCCAGGCGGCCGGTGAATATGCCTCGGACACCCTGCATATTGGTGGTGCCACGTTGAAGGACTTTGAATTTGGGATTGGGTATATTTCCAGCTCTCCTGGTATGGAATCTCTGAATCTCCCTCTTCAATGTCTATGCAATGAATCACTAACTTTCCTGTAGAAGGCGTTTTTGGGAATCGGCTACTCGACCAACGAAGCCATCGTCCAAACCTCCCACTCAACGTACAACAACCTCCCCAAAGCCATGGTGGACAGTGGGCTCATCAAGTCCAACGCCTACAGTCTGTGGCTCAACGACCTAGACGCCAACACAGGCTCCATCCTCTTCGGAGGCGTCAACACCAAGAAATACCACGGCTCCTTGCAAACCCTCCCCATTGAGCCCATCCGCGGCATCTACGCCGAATTCATCATTGCCCTCACCGCCGTCGCCATGACCAACTCCTCCGGCACCACCACCTACAACACCCAAGCCCTCCCCAGCGCCGTCCTCCTCGACTCCGGCAGCTCCCTTTCCTACCTCCCCAACGACATCGTCCGCCTCCTCTACAACGACCTCGACGTCGCCCTCGACCAAAGCGGCAACGGCTATCTCCCCTGCCGCCTCGCCTCCGAGGACATCAAGGTCTCCTTCACCTTCACTTCGCCGACCATCGAGGTTTCCATGTCCGAACTCCTCCTCGACGTCGGCTCCGGTCTGACCTTCAACAACGGCGACCGCGCCTGCGCCTTCGGTATCGCGCCCGCCGGGAACTCCATGGCCGTCCTAGGCGACACCTTCCTGCGCAGCGCATACGTCGTCTACGATCTCGCAAACCATGAAATCTCCCTCGCCAAGACCAACTTCAATTCCACCGAGGATCACATCGTCGAGATTGGCACGGGGACCAACGCCGTTCCCAGCGCGACCGCCGTCAACAACCCCGTGACGAGCGTGGCTGGGGAGGGCAGCGGCGGTCCGCGCATTGGAGGCCCGCATAGTGGAACGGGCGTGTTTTCGGCGGCGACGGCCGCAGCGACGACGACGTCGAAGGGAGGTGCGGTGGCTCGACCCACGGCGATGCCGGGACAATTGGCTGCGTTGGGCATGGTTGGTGCCGGAGCGCTTCTTGTGTTGTAGGAGGTTTCTTATCGGGGAGCTTTGCTGGACCTGCGTGATGAATTGGGTTTCTCTTTTTTTTCTCTTTTTTTCTCTTTTTTTTGGCTGTTTATATTGATGATCTGTACAGCTTTGATGGGACTTTTCGTTGCTGATTCGTCATGTTTTTGTACCTCGATTCGCTGTCTATTCCTCTTTATTTTGGGATGGAGATCGGGTTTAGATGGATATAGCTTATTCCCTGGTAGAGATCGTTTAGAAAATCTCTCTTCATCATGCACTGGACACAGACACCCACTAATCTGACTCGCCCAATCTCTACATCTCCTCGAAAAGTACACCCGACAACGTAATTAGTGTAACGGATCAACTCTCGTCATGCAACACATTATCGAAGATTGTCACTCGGTTCTGTCTTGACCAACGGATAAGGTACGTACTGTACTACCAGCAGGTTACTGCGGTACTATCTGTAGGACTAGGGTCACAGGGGGTGCAGGTTCAGAGGAACGTCAAAGTGGCCCGTCGCCAGTTCTGCGTTCATATGAAAATATACACCCGTGTTCTCGATAACTCAACAACCGCTTCCCCCAACCTCACCCCCATCAACCGTTCTAATCCTCGCCTCCCCTTTCCCACACAAATCCAAATCCATGCCCCGTCTTCCCACCCCGCTGCTCCTCAAGGCTTCTCGCGAAAACCCTCTTCTGCCCCTCCTCCTCAAGGAATGTCGCTCGTTGGCCTCGGCTCGTAATGAATTGCGCTGGTTTCGCGAGCGCGCTGTTCGTGAGGCTGGTGGTTATCGGCGGCAAGTGCAGAGCCAGGACCGGGGTATATTGAAGCGGAGGTGTGCAGGTGTGCCTCATTCACGTCATGGCGCAGGACGAGTGCGCGTTCAAGATCGAGTCCGGGTCCAAGGCCGAAGGAGTCTGGATGCAGAACCGGTCGGCGGGGTAGGAGGAAGAGGAGGAAGAGGAGGAAGAGGAGGAAGAGGAGGAAGAGGAGGAAGAGGAGGAAGAGGAGGAAGAGGAGGAAGAGGAGGAAGAGGAGGAAGAGGAGGAGGAAGAGGAGGAAGAGGAGGAAGAGGAAGAAGATCTCAGCCGAGTTTGCGCGTGAGATATAGATCCATGGGGTTTCCAACGAGGAGGGACCCGCGTACTCGTCTTAGAGAAATGTGTGAATCGAGGGCGCGCGGCATGCCGTTGCAGTATATCTTGGGCGATCAGCCGTTTGGGGAGTTGGAGATATTGTGTCGAAGGGGCGTGTTGATTCCGAGGTATGTTCCGCTTTCAAGAGGGGTTATTGTTTGGGGTATAGGGGGTGAGGAGAGAGACATGTTTACGACTCTAACGAAGGGGATGTTAGGGGAGGAGAGATCCGGGGTGTTGATGGCTATGATCTGTCTTGATCAATGTATGCTAACGCTTGTGGTTGTTCAGAGCCGATACAGAGGCATATACATATCAAGCGGCGAAACTTGTCAGGCAGAGATTGCTACAGAATCAGAGTCAGCACCAGAGTCAGGAACAGACGCCAGATCCTTGCACTCCTCAACCCCATGCTGCCAAGAACATACTTCAGCATGACTCCTCTGCATCATCATCACCACCACCTAATTCCACATCCCTGTTCTCACCCTTCCACCCCAAACCCATCCGCATCCTCGATCTCTGCACCGGAACAGGCTGCATCGCCCTCCTTCTCCACGCTCTCCTAAAAACACCCAAACCGCCCCATCCGCAGTCTCCAGCCCTTCAAATTCTCGGCATCGACCTGAGTCCCACGGCCGTCAGGCTCGCACGACGGAATCTAGACCACAATGTGCACGTCACCCGCGGTGTGGATGCCTGCGCCAAAAGCGAAGTTCACTTTCGGAGGGGCGACGTTCTTAAGACTCAACGGTCGAGCGTTGGGGAAAAGCATGAAGATGAAGATGCAGTTGGAGAGGTAGATGTACCCAGCGTGGAACAATTACTTTCGTACTTCGACCCAGAGGGGGAGGAGATACATCGCGCTCGTAACTCTGCTGCCGACGCCGATGCCCATGCCACCGACACAAAGACCTATCCCCCGAAAAAACCTCCAGCTGGAATCCAAACCAAAACTAAAGTCGCGATCGAAATCGACCTCCTCATCTCCAACCCACCCTACATATCCCCATCTGATTTCCGCAACGGTACCACCGCACGAAGCGTCCGGCTTTTCGAGCCGCGTCTTGCACTAGTTCCGCCTGTGACCATCCAGGATGGTCGATCTCCGCGTGAACCCCACAAGACACGTACGGAGCCGAGGGACTCGAAGTGTCACAGCAATGGGTATCCATGTGCTCGCCCTCATCCCAATTCCCCTCCCCATCTAAACCCAGAGGATATTTTCTACCGACGAATCCTGCACCTCTCGCAGAAGGTCAAGGCCGGAATCACAGTCTTGGAATGCGGAGATCGAATGCAGGCTGAGCGGGTGGTGAGGATGTTTCGACGTATGAATGCCATGGGCATGGACATGGACGTGGACATGAGCGAGGGTTCCTCGTCTCCGTCGTCGTCAACATCACTCAGCAATTCCGAAAACAACTCTCCCTCGCACGAAGTCGAGAATCAACAACCGGACGAGCGTGAGCCTTTCACGGTAGAAATCTGGCCATCGACAGATGACGATCTCCGGGCGAATGGGTTCCACCCGACAGACGGATCGAGATGTGTGATTATCCAGAGGAAATAGGCTCGAGGAAATAGGCTCTAGGAACTCGTTCCGCTTCCACGCTCCTTCGTCCCATTCCTCTTAATAGCTCAATATCAAGCAGAAACGCAGAGAAGCGCCAGAATGGCGGAATGGAACAGACCGGGAAAAGGAAAAGGCAAATGAGTGCACGGGTACGGCCTGCATATTAGATTCAAATCAACGTACAAGCATCAACTAGACTACACGCTACACACTACACACTACACACTACACACTACACACTACACACTACACACTACACACTACACACTACACACTACACACTACACACTACACACTACACACTACACACTACACACTACACACTACACACTACACACTACACACTACACACTACACACTACACACTACACACTACACACTACACACTACACACTACACACTACACACTACACACTACACACTACACACTACACACTACACAGCGTCGACGTATCCACGCGCAGAACTGAGCATCCTTTAATGACAAGGCTGTCAGAATGGATCCAATCCATAAGATCGACTTGATACTCGAGTATTCACGACAACCACAGTGCTTTCTGGAAATACCCCTCCCCGACTACTATAGATTTTGTAGTGGCGAGTCTGGCGACTGGGTGTAGCTCGGGTCGGACCTCAAACCTACCAGTATCTACCTTATCTTCCTATTTACATACCTAGGTCACACACGTGTGTACTGTGCAGGGGCAAATTAAAAGGTATTTGGTCTACAGCTCTTTGGAAGGGACTTTCGGGAGGTCATTGAAAAGCCCGGACGACTTGACTTGGTCCGTATGTTTATTGAGGTGAGTACGTAGTACATAGTACTACTAATCTTTGGAAACTCATGCAATCCTTGCGTATTCATGTTTAGGAAAGACTGTTTCATACAGGATCCGTCAAGTCCTGTCAAATGTCTATTTTACGTTTGACATCTATTGTTCTAAAGAACGATACCTTCATCATAAGAATACATTCAGTCTGACACGAGAAAGAAAAAAAACAAGCTCCAAGAATTATATACAGGTCAAACACAGGACCGGGAGGAGGTGCGCCTTTTTCCTGGCAAGCCCCCTCACGTCTTTTGGAGAAAAGGTATTAAAATGTCGATAGTCGGGCGGGGGGTGTGCATGAGTGTGGAAGCGAAGCGTGGAATGGAATGTACGTCAATGCAAAAGGACGAGGCTGGATGACCGTCGCTAGAGTGTGGTCGTAAAATGCACGGCGGTCAAAAAAAAGGGTTCGCGGAAAGACAAGCTGAAAGGAAACAAGAACAAAAAAAGGGCCAGTTCTCAAGGTCTGGAGAAGATTGGTGTTTTCGATGGTGCAGTGAGAGCCATCAAAACATGTTTTCCCAGAGAAAGGCCCCGCCCCTCACATGTTCTTCTTCTTGTCCTCGTTCTCCAAATATGTCCGGTCATCATCACCCTCAACGTCCTTCAGAATGGTCTCCATCTCCTTGGACTGGCGCTGCCATTCCGTTTGACTCATCTTAGTTTCCCGACGGAACAACTCCTCGTTGGGCTTGCGGTAGCTGCCACCCAATCGATCCCATAGAGTGGTGAACTGGCCGTAGTTGTAGTTGAAGTATAAATGATGCATGGTGTGGCACGCGGCACCGTTCACCACGGGGCTGTTTGCGACATACTCGCCGTCGTGGATGAAGACGGTCCAGAGGTTGATAAAGGCGAACAGGAAAACATAGGCGACCTTCTGCAGGGGGAAGATGAAGGGAAAGACGTGGTAAGGAACACTCTGGGACCAGCCGTCCAGGGGGTGGAAGGCGTGCGAGGCGAAAGGCGAAGGCATGATCCACTTGTGGTGAGGCTTGTGAAGAGTGCGGTACACCCTTGGGTGGTGCAGACCGCGATGAATCCAGTAGATGAAGAAGTCGGTGAAGAGGATGAAGAGAGGGAACTGGAGAATGCTGTAGTAGCGGAAGGGCTCGTCGGCCACGGTGTCGTACAACTTGGCGTAGCCACGGACTTCGAGGACGAAAAAGGGCGCGGTCAAAAGAGCCATGGGCGGCATTGCGGACATGGCCTGCTTCATCTCCAGCTTAATTTGACCCTTGAGGAATTTCGGATGATTGTAGGTGGTTTTGTCCCAGATGAAGACATACGAAGCGGTGGCAACGATGAAGTACACAAGCAGGCCGAAGATCCTGTCGATTTTCACCAACAGTTAGCATTTGGTATGCGAATAATTAGTCGTTCGACATCGGACTCCAGCGGGATTTATCTCCCGACGAGACTCCCGACCAATCGAGGTTGCGAGACCAGATCGCCCACATGGAATAACAGTACACACCATGTGATAAGGAAAAAGCTGGTGAATTGACGATAGATGTTGTTTCGAGGCCAGGCACTGAGGTAGGCATATTTTGAAGGCTCCAGATGCAGCAACTGTGTGGCAGGCTCATAGACAAATGGTTCTGTCGCGCCGAAGAGGGATAATGTACTGTTGGCGACATTCACAAAGGCCGGGAGGCCCGCAGTGGCCGATAAGGAGGTCGGCAGCAGAGTCGAGTACAGACGATCACCAACAAAGGTGTCCCATAATTCCAGAATGATATCCATGACCACGGGCGGAGACGGGGGTCGAGGAACAACGGCGGACAGAATGGCAAGCCAGAAAAGTGCCCCAAGGCTGGTGTAGGAAGTAAAGGAAAGGGAGGAGGGGGGCAAACTCGATAATGTTATTTCTCTGCTCGGATTTCGGAGAGCGACAGAGGGATTCAATTTTCGGGCGGCGAATCGAATAAAATTATGGGCATTCTGCCCGCATCACACCAGCACGGAACGGGGCCAGCCGTTGTCCACTTCAGGACAGGGCGCGTTGTAGTTCCTTAGGTTTTCCGTTGGGTCTTAGTCAGCAGGTTGGCATCTGGCAGTGGCATGATGGCCGTTGCAGGGCCATGGCAGGTTCCGAGGTACCGGACAATACATGTACATGTACATGTAATTATTCTGTACATGCCTTCATCTTCGACTCTACAGGGGATCTTGTACATTGCCTCAAATACTCTGTCTTGAATAGACCCCAGGACTCGGTATCGTTGAGAAGGCAGGCTTCATCAAGTTTCGTGGCACAGGGCCAACTGCTACATGTCACATCCCCAGTGAGGTCCTAGTACTGTTGTGCCTTACATAAAGTAGGTACAGAATGTCTGAAGATGTGCATGTCCCACCAGAAGTACGCAAATTACGCCGAACATTCGAGGCTACCGATTGGGGGGTGGGGGGCGCACTTGGCTCAATCAGGTTAGTCAGGGGCTTGAGTTTGCCGCCTCAGGAATGCAGGTCACAAGTCGCAAGTCGCAGGTCCAGGTACTGCCCTCAGGCCACAAGGCAGATATGTCGTCAATGATGAACTTTTCGAAACGTTCAGGCATTCAGGCACCTCGCTGCTCTTGCCAAGTTGCCAGGCCAGATGCGGCGACCCTTTTGCACGGACCCACTCAGACTCAGACTCTGGACCGCCTGAGCACTAAATTCCCTTGTTCTGGGGCTGAAGCACACAAGGCCGAACGGACATCTGTCGGCGAATGTCGATGAAAGTAGAGTGGAGTTGTGAGGGAGGAAGATAACCACACGTCTTTCTTGCCTTGTCAGGCTCGAAGACACGACCTATATCCTAGTTTCATCCAGACACTTGAACCTGCGACGGCGTAATCAATTATGCTCGCCCTCGATCCACCTACGGTAGTACCTAGCAAGCACCTTATTACGATGGACGGCGACCCGGGCTTGGCAGAGCATAGGTACTTAGTAGTCATCTTCGGGCGAGTTGGAAACGGGTTCAAGCATACTCTCATCTACAAAGTATTTCATCTACAGAGTATTTCGTCTACGGAGTAACACAGTAGTCCCATCACAATAGCATCCTGCGGTTCAACCAACAGGGGGTTGGCCATTCTTGGTGTGGCAGAAGTGAAGGACGTGACACAATCAAAATGGGATCATCTGGCGCGTATCGAACACGAGAAGAGTCACTCGGCCTTCAATCAGGTGGTGGGAATAATGCGCACTCGAGACCGCCTTTAGATACTCAAGAAACCAGAATGAATATGACCGGTCAAGGTCCGATAAGACATCGAAAGGGCCCGTCTTCAAAAAGTCTTGGTTGCGCTTCTCGGCTCTTTGTCTCGCTTCTCGCGCCAAACGGTAGCCGCCCCGGGCCCATCTCCACCCCCCAAACTCTACTCAACCTTCCCGCTGCCAGCCACTTCCTTCTCCTTCTCCTCTCCCCCCTCCTCCTCCTCGCTCTCCTCTTCCACCGCTCGTCGGATCGTTGGTTCTGCTGCTTCACCTTTTCATCCGTCTTCCAATCTCATCGCCAAATTCTTGCGCTACGAAAGTCTAGCCTTCGATTCGGTTGCGCCCGCCCAGCTTTCCCCACCACACCCAGGCCTCCAGCTGCCCTGGTGTCCTCCACCAAGCAGCACTTGCGCCTCCACCCGATCGCAGCGTCAGTCAATTAAATCGCCCGCCGACTCTTTCCTTCCATCGCCGAGGTCTCAAAGGTCTTGAACTTGACTGATTGAAAGCCCTCGTTCTTTACAGAGTTTGGATTGAAACGCGATCATCTCATCATCTTGTCAATCGCCATGTACAACACGCATCGCGGCATGGTGCCTGCACCCAACTCCCGTCTGACGGAGTTGCTTGATCAGCTGCGCCAGGAATTCGAGAGTCAATCCCGAAGCACCGGTGAATATGAACACCAGTGTATGTCCCCCTCTCAAGCATATTCTCTCGTGTGACGTCAATGAGCGTTCTACGTGCTTCTCGGTTCTGCTTCGCGTCGGGCTTCTCTCCTCGATTTGATACTGCAGGACCGCCTGGGTCATTTTTCTTTGATTTCTGATCATGCCTGAACCACCACTGCCTCCAATTCTTTGCTCTCGGTTCATGCGCGCATCATGTCGCTTTTTGCACGAGTTGCGAAAATTACTGAATCCGTTTCTAACTGACAGATCACGCAGTGACCGGACAGCTCCAAGAGATGGAGATGATTCGTCAAAAGGTGTACCAGCTCGAGCAGACCCAGATCAAGATGAAGGCAGAGTATGTCTCTTCCCCATCCCGCCTCAGATCTAGCTTCCTCGAATTGCTCGTGTCCACTCTCTCACTCGGTCCGCCGTCTCGGATGTTGCAATCGACACGACGCGAATGAAAGCAGTCGACCGATATGTCATTCGAGATTCATTCGAGATTCTTCGTGCGACTAATTCCCTTCATCTTTTTTTTTTTTTTTTTAGCTACGAGGCGGAGATCCGAATGTTGCGACACGAACTTGAGCAGCGCGGTGTTCAACCCGTGACTTCTCATATTGCGCCCTCGCAGCACAGCGGCCCCCAGGCGCAACCACCCTCATTGGGCCACGGGCCCAGCAATCTATTTGGTGGCATCATGGCCAACCCAGCTGGTAGTGGTCCCGGCCTGGCTCCTCCTCCGTCCCAAGAACAGCAGCCTTCCCAACACACTCTCCAACAGCCTGCGTCGGCCACCCAGCCTGGAGCGCCTCAGCCTCCACAGAGTTTCCCCGGAGGTTATCAGCCCGGTGGTGCTGTAAATGGTACGTTGGCATGCACAAATGAATCACACAAACGTGTCATCTGATCTCCGACGACGTTTTTCACCTTGGGTGAGAGCTGACGTGATTGACCTGTTCTTTGCGGGCTATAGGTTATGGACCACCCCCTCCTCCTACAGCATCGCCTGGGCCTGGAAAGGGTCGTCGAGTGCCTGGCCCGGCCACACCTCAGCAGACCCAAATCGCCTATCCCGACCCTCGCGCGTCTCCCCAGATTCCCCGCCCCACACCCCCTACTCAAAGTCTCGTGCGCGCCGATCGCCCGGGTAACATGCTTGCCAATTGGGACCCTGCCGATCTTCCCGCCTCGCAAAAGCGGGAGGGTTCTGACTGGTACGCTGTCTTCAACCCCGAGGTTCAGCGTGTGTTGGACGTTGAGCTTGTCCACCATCTCAACCACGATAGCGTGGTGTGCTGTGTTCGTTTCAGCCGCGACGGAAAATACCTGGCGACTGGTTGCAACCGCTCGGCGCAGATCTTCGACGTGACGACTGGCCAGAATGTGGCCACTCTGCAAGATGAGAACGTCGACAAGGACGGCGATTTGTACATCCGCAGTGTTTGCTTCAGTCCGGATGGCAAGTACCTTGCTACCGGTGCAGAGGATAAGCAGATTCGAGTAAGCTTCCCTCACCCTCTCATTCCACACCGCGACTGTCCACGATTGGAGTGGGACGCGAAAAGAAGACGAGTGCAAGGATGAAGCTTGTATCTTTCTTTTCCAAGGACCCGCGTGAAACTAATGCTGAATTCGTTCAGGTCTGGGATATCGCCGCGCGCTCTATCAAGCACATCTTCAGCGGTCACGAGCAAGACATCTACTCTCTCGACTTTGCCGGTAACGGTCGTTACATCGCCTCCGGTAGCGGTGACAAGACTGTCCGTCTGTGGGATATCCTGGATGGCAAGCTTGTCTACACCCTGAGCATCGAGGACGGTGTTACCACCGTGGCCATGTCTCCCGACGGCCATTATGTTGCAGCTGGATCGCTGGACAAGAGCGTGCGTGTGTGGGACACCACCACCGGTTACCTGGTGGAGCGTCTGGAGAACCCCGACGGCCACAAGGACAGCGTCTACTCTGTTGCCTTTGCGCCCAACGGCCGGGACCTTGTCAGTGGTAGTCTGGATAAGACTATCAAGCTGTGGGAACTTACTGTTCCCCGAGGCATGCATCCTCACAATGGTAACAAGGGTGGCAAGTGCATTCGCACGTTTGAGGGTCACAAGGTACGTTCTACACCGTCACCTTCTTTTCTGCGCCATCTTGACCCATTGTCGCTGGTTTCGTCCTGTCTGTCTGCGCACATTGTCACTGGGCGCTGGGCGAGCCTCTCGTCACTAATTCCACGAAACTTGTCGTGTCTACGTGGACCGGATACTAATTGCTTGCTCTTTCTCCAGGACTTTGTGCTCAGCGTTTGCCTGACCCCCGATGGACAATGGGTCATGAGTGGTTCCAAGGACCGCGGTGTCCAATTCTGGGACCCCGTGACTGGAAATGCGCAGATGATGTTGCAGGGCCACAAGAACTCTGGTGAGTCAAACCATTGACTGGCAATTGAAGCATGAGACCGGATGATCAGCAGTCTTGTTCCTCGCATGCTTTCTCCATGTGTCCGGTCCGAACAATACGTCTCAATTGGGACAACTTGTCGGGGCAAATTGTAGACCAATACTAACGCATCAATAGTCATCTCGGTGGCTCCCGCCCCAACTGGCAATCTCTTTGCTACTGGCAGTGGAGATATGCGTGCACGCATCTGGAGGTACGTAGCAAGAGATATCCGTTGTTTATTTGCCCTCTCCCTCGTTGCCCCGAATTTGGGATGTCTCTGGGATTTTGCACTTCGACTACTTTGTGCCCCGTAATGGACGGTTTTCGCTTTCCGTCTTCTTGCGGCCAAAAACCGTGCACCATCCCACGATGAGAACGAGATCCGCCAGGATATGAGGTCTTCGATTTGGGGTTTCGACACACCAGAGCCTTTTCATCGCATCTCCTGTACTGCATTCATCTTAAGAAAAAGCCAACTGACTGACTTATTCCGCAGATATTCGACTTACACAGGACGGTAAAAAGGTTCGGCTTAGCCACGGCGCAGTATGACTTTATTCGCTTGGATTTCTTTGTAGCCAAATTGGGGCTTTCAATTTTGATGGTGTCTCTTCCTTTTTTTCCCTGTCGATTTTCTTATATATCTGTTACCAAATTCTTATTCCAGTCCTATTCTGAGTTACCCGTGTGTTGGTCTCTTCCACATTCGATGAATGTCGAGTGCCTTGTGCAAGCACAACGATGAAGGGTCGTGTACTTCAATCAGGCCATAAATCCCCATGACAGAGACCACCTGTCCATTACTGAGTGCATGCATGACGCGTGGAATTTATTGACGACTGATGTACCTTTGAAACGACGACAATGGCTACTCTTGAAAGCAATGTACCATGTACACACTGACCAGGTCTCCTCACATGGATGGGTAGACGATCAAGGGTTTCTGCCATCGTACTGAGCCTCGCGATGGAGATTTTCCTTGGAAATAAGGCGCTGTCTAGTGAAACAGGGGTTCATGTAATCGACTGGTGGGCTTTGCTCTCTCGTCAGTGGGAAACAGTTCCAAAAAGCCTAAGAGGAGGTACTTGTATTGATTGAGGGAGATTCGCCTCTTTTCAGGTAGGCTCAGCAGACATGATAGGGTTGCGTTTTTTTTCCCGACCTGCCACTCGCAGTCTCTCTCTCTCTCTCTCTCTCTATGGTAGACAGGTTTTGGGTCTACTGTGCTGTGGATAGCCCTCGCCAGCTCAAGCACAACATGATCTAGGACTGTCTTACTGAAAGGACACAATTGAATCATGCTCCTCGTCAGGGAAACCTCTGCAACAAATTGTGTAGCCCAATGAGGCTGGAATGGGAACCTGCTGGACTGCGGTGGCACCGGCGATCGTGCAGGCATGGTCATCGCACTCTGGTCGAGGTGGAGATAGATATTCGAGCTGCGAAGAATTTCGTCAATAGTTTGACTCGCCCATGCTATTTGAGAGCTTGCGACGACCCTTGAGCGATCGGGATAGAACTGTTCCCTATTCGCGTCCGAAACGCGAATCGGGCGTCGATACATTTCATTAATGGCTTCCATTAATGGCTTCTCGACGACAAGGACATAGTTTACTCCAGCCGCTTTCCTGTGTCTACGACCAGGCCACTCACGCCTTGAAGCCCGTCCCAGACCAGCAGATCTCCAACGGGGCAACTCCCAGGGTGAACAGAGCTCCGGCAAGCTCGATCCGCATTTACTGAAAGCCTCTGTGCCGAATAGTCTGCAGGCACTGGAATTATCTGAGACGGTAAACGACTACAACTAGCGACTTCAGCTACAGGAGATGCTGTGAGCGGAAGTCTGAGTACTGGGGAGTTTTGCACCTGCACCTGCACCTGCACCTGCACCTACACCCGAAGCCCACATCCTCCGCTGTCATGGCTGCCGTGAGATGTGAGGACGTGGGACCGGATTGTTTATGGACAAACACGCACCGGCTCAACCCTTACGGATGTATGTGTAGGATGGAGTCAGACTGGCTCTGAAGAACCGGTTGTTGAGGAGTGCTCTCGGGTCGTCTGTGCGCCTCTTGTATGTGCTCTGTTGGGCTCGGAATGACCTGGCTCGTGTGTACCAGCGTTCTGGTCACAGGGCTTTCAGTCATTAGGGAGGAGAAGGGTTATAGCTTGGGTCTGGGAATCTCATGAACTTTGCGGGAAGATAGGGAGACAAGCAATTAGCGAGATCTTGCAAGATAACGTCGCGAAAATAGCATCTAGAGGGCTGGATATATGTCTTTTGCTGGATGAGCTAGACGAAAGACACCGTTCCTAGAAAAGAAGAAGCCGAATTAGAAAACAAGGCACGCCAATTCGCACGAGATTGGAGCAGAAATTCTGCGTTGACGTCGTTCAGGTATGAGATGATGGTCCTCTGCCAAGAGGAAAATGCTGATTCGTAAGGTAAGTGTATGGACGAGGATGAAGACGAAATTGAAGTATCTCGCGACACCGCCGGGTACTCTTATATATACCTTGTCAACACGACTAATTGTCGAGTAGGACGGACTGATATCTTGACACTATTGATATTCGGTAAACTTGATTATTACTACCTGTATTCCCACGAGATATTTTGATCTCAGGAAGAGATATATCTAGTCGCCTGATCAGCGTCCGCGACCCTAGGTGTTTGCGTCCGACCTACGTCTGTGATCTGATTTAGTTGCCGATCAACCATGATCGACACGCTCCTGTAGGTAAGGTTGTGGGGCTTGGGAATTGGCTCTATCTGTCGTGATATCTTTTCGACGCAGGTGGTTACAGGTGGAAGATAATCACTCCCGTACTCGCGATCTCATGGTTAATGAGGATGAGGCAGGAATCGCGGTACATGGTGGAGCGTTGAAACCCTGACTCGGGGCCAAAGCGTCACTGCCAGTTCAATCGAGTGGTGAACCTGCCAGCTATACTAGATCTACGGGGTAGACATTGACTGCAGTCAATATTTGAATGCAGCGTGAACTCCCATGGCCAGACTATATGAGGACGAAATATCGCATATTCATGTTCTATCGGACGCAGCCATGCGCGAGACCGATGAGAGTGAACCAGATGGAACAAATCCATGGAGGACCAACCTTCGACCGTCCCGCGGGAGTATCCAAGTCCCACATCTGGTATGATGCAGGCGCGAGACACTAGCCACCGGAAGCTGACCACTTACAATCGGCCGGTGACAATTAATGTCTTGATAGGGTGTACGACTGGACGGAGGAACATTGTGGGTATATACTTATAGTAGGTGTATGAGGGCGGTAGGTGACTGTCTCCCTTGTCCCTTGTACCTGCCACCTGGTATGTCGGATCTAGTAGGTGAAGTCTCTTCAATGTTTCAAACACGGCAAGGGAGCAGGTGTCTCCTATTACGGGGCTTGGTAGCCCTTATGTGTATGGTGATCTTATGAAATGGGTGTATGATGGTAGATGGATGTCTTCTTTGAGAACTGAGAAATGCCTCGTCCTACCCAGTGATGCTCAGTACTAGACTACTGGTTCGTGGAATCCGAGGATCTACGTCCAGGTCCAAAACCTGTAGACAATAGACGTGTCACTCGAAAACGAGAGGGTCCCTTCGCAATGTATGAGGAACCCCTACACCCGCCAGTACGGATCATGGCACATCGCACCCAGCCACCGGAGTCATGAATCTCTGATGCGGACAAGTAGCAACGGAGAAAAAAGGGAAGAAAAAAAAAAAGAAAAGTGTCATGTGAACCTTGTGCGGATCATGAAGATACGGTCTCCGGATCAAATCGCTCACTGGTGATATCCAGGACCTCAATCTTTAATGGTGCTGTGCGTGGCTGTCCAGCCGCAGAGGCTTGCCTCGCCCCCACTGCACTGGATAGCCTTACCTCCCGCCCAGAGAGACGAAACGCAGAATGCGGAAGGAGGAATCAGGGCTCGGACGTGGTGTGCCCGAGGGTTGACTGGGTGACTAGACTGAGGAAATGAGCACGACAGTCGGATCGACGATCCTACTCATCTTGGTGACCTCCTCAGCTCTTAAGGGAGAATCAAATCAACTCAAAAAAAAAATAAAAACGGGAGACCAACTGCGGGCGGAAAAGCAGAAAAACGTGGCCTGCGAGGATGCATCACAGGCTAACGGACCAGGATCGACGGCCTCGGGTAAATAGCACATGTGCCAGCTGTGGATCACCGGATGCGCGTTTCCTTTCGTGCTTTTGCTTGATGGGGGGATGCGTTCCTTTGGGTGAGGGCTCTTGACGCCGAGAGCAGCGGAGACCCAGTCGTGGGCATTCCGCAGTCAGCACTATGATTCAGCGGGAATTCTTTTGGACGAGGCAGAGGGAATGAGAGGCCCGAGTCTCTTCTTGTGGGGGGGGGGGCGGTGCTTTTTTGAATTTCTTGTTTCAGGTTCTGTAGGGCGATCTGATGGTATGCTATTGCTATTTCTGGGGCTGCCCTTGGTTCCTGGATGGAATATTGACTTATATCAGTACATGTAGTAAGTACTACTGAATCAGTAGTATCTGGGACAAGGCAGTATTCCCTATATTTGCTAGCATGGACAAGACTACAGAGTCTGCGCCTCGATTGGTGGACAGGAAGATTACGCGATATAGTGGAAAGTTGCCCGAATCTCAGGTTGAGGATTCTCGATGTATGATGGCTGCCACCTTGTTCTGGGGCTATCAATTTAAGAGTCCTGCCTCTTCAGCAGCACGATGATCGTCGAGTGTGTACTGTGTACTTAGCTGTCCAGAATATCCCACCTTGTTCATTACAATGGAAATCTCTCTTCTCTTCTCTCCTCTCCTAATACCCTCGAGAGGTCGCATTTGGACTTTTGTCCAGACAAGTACTGACTCTGTACATACTACATACTACCTTCACAACATAAGTGACCTGGGGTAGTAGATCTGACTGTGTAGTACACAGTGTGTAGTACACTGTGTGTAGTACACTGTGTCGTTTATCCTTCGTGATCGTCATCTACCATCCTACTCGCATTCGCATGACTTCACCGATCGCATCGACTCATCAAAGCTACTTTGTAATAAGGGCGTATCCACCGTTTCCCTCGGGCTTCCATGAGTCCATGTCCCATGCGCCCTCTCATCATCCTCACTGACCGTGAGATCGCCAGTCTTTACCTAATCAGGCAGGCGTTCGTCAGGAAGGATTTCCCATGGCATGCAAGTGCCTCCAGCCACACAGCACTAGGAGTAGTCAGACTCGGCCAGTTACCCCCGAGTCACGACTAACTCGCACGCATGTACTATCTTGTGACCGGCAGCACTTCATTCTTTCTGCAGTTCCTTTTTTGGGTCACGCCTTCTCAAGTGAACTGTGGAGTGCCACTCATCGACTATGCTCTTGGGAACTAGTCGAGCCGCTGAGCTGCTAAACTTGGCTAGTAATGGACAGGTTCTCATAGACACCAGATACCAGACCTTAGATACTAAATAGGAAAGTGAGTATGTCTGTAGGACAAAGTACGACCTCAGAG